AATAATGAAGCGGTAATTTTTCTTTTTGATCTTGCAGAATATCTGTCGACCTGAGAGAATTGCGTTATCTGCCTATCTTCGGGTCGACTTCCGCCGCGTCGTATTGGCGCCATTACGTTGTCGGCGAGGTGAAACGTGTCTCATTTCGAACTGGCTGCGCGTCCATCCGATCTCTCGATCTATATTCGATCATGATCCGCGAAGCTACTACGCTATTTTCGACGTGGCCGCACGCGATCGTGCGAATAAGACCTCGTGTTTCTTACGTGATGGAATCACGCGCAAAGATGTGCGTTTCTAATTCTTGATTTAGTGAAAATTATTTTGTTTTCGATGAAAAAAACGTGACTATCGGAATTGGAGTTATCATGAATTCATGATCGATGTACGTTTACACACCTGCGACATTGCATTATTGAATATAAAAATATTAAGCAGTTTGGTGAATATAAATCATTGATCTACGCCGGTCAAGTAAATGCAAAATGGCGCTCTTGCATCTAAAATGGCAGCGTACATCCTATATTCTCGCGTTGCACGTGCCTCATGATTGAATTATGACCGGTGAATGATTTTACTATTATATGAATATAATCATAAAAACATTGTTCAGAGAATAATAAAACAGATTTTGCTAATCAAAAAAAATATGTACATATATTTTTTTATTAAAGTTAAATAATTAAGTGTGTAAATGATAAAAAAAGAATTGAATCTATTTGATAGTAAAAATATAATATATTATAGTATATTATAGATTTGTTCTAAAAAGAAAAGAATAAAATTAATAAAGCCAAAATAAGTAGAAAAGATAAATTAATGATAAATATTTATTTATCTTTAAAAGTAGTTATTAAATTTATAATTATGAAGTTGTGGATGTATAATGATTAAATAAATAATGATATATGATACTCATTAAAAAAATTAAAAGAAAAGCTTATTTAAAAATATGTATCTAATACACACATTTTATATATATAATATTTGACGTATAATTTTATTTATTATTATTATTAAGTTTACTTAGAAAATTAATTACTTTGATCTATTTTTTAAAATAATTTGCATAATACTATCTATTTAAAAAAAGATTTTGGCATGTTTAGCAGTGATAAAAATCACATGCACGTGGCATAATTTTAAATTCATGAATACTGAAATGTTTGTTACAAATGAAGAATCAATCCCAGATATGTTGGCGAATAGAAAATATGCAAATAAGAAATATTGATTACATTATAATATTAAATTTATTTTGAGTTATAATAAATTAAATATATAAAATTATAAAGAAAGGAAGATATATTTAATAGATATATTTTTATGTATTTTATAATTTCAGAAATATTAAATTTGTTTATAGATGAAAATGAATGATTCCATGGATGGAGGAATGGATAATCCTATACCTGAAGGTATGGGTAGCGGAATCGGTGGTGGAATCGGTGGCGGAATGGGTGGCGGAATGGGTAGCAGCATGGGTGGCGGCATGGGTGGCGGCATGGGTGGCGGCATGGGTGGCGGCATGGGTGGTGGCATGGGCATGGGTCGCGGAGGTGCAATGCGAGGAGCACGAGGAGGTGGTCGAGGTGGTGGCGATAGAAATATGGCCACTAGATCACAAGATGTGAGTTTGTTTTATATGTTTTGTATAATTGTTACTTTTTGCTATGATAATTACTCTATTTATATTGCTTTTAGGATCGATTGATGGAGCGTGTCATGGCTATCAGTGGACCAACTCATGAGCTTCCACCACAAGATACGACAGAAAAGAAGTTTAGTGGCCGAAATCGTTTGTATGTCGGAAATTTGACGAATGATGTGACTGAGGAAGAGATACAGACTTTGTTTCAAAAGTATGGGGAAATATCTGAATTGTTTGTAAACAAAGAGAAAAGTTTTGCTTTTCTCAGAATGGTAATTATACAAATTATACAAAATTATTTAATATTTAAATAATACATAAATTTTTCTCGTGATAATATGAAAATGATTATAATAATTACCGTTTGATATCAAATGATGAGAATTTCTGGCTGTATAATTTTAAAATGATGGCATTGTCTTTATTAAAGAATTTTGCATTTTACATTAGCATGTTAGAGAATGATTATTCTTTTATTTTAGGATTATAAAGCAAATGCCGATACAGCTAAACGCGAATTAGATGGTTCGATGCGTAAAGGTCGTGCTTTGAAGGTACGCTTTGCCCCTCATTCATCTACAATCAAGGTAAAGAACCTCACAGCATGGACTTCCAATGAACTTCTCGAAAGAGCTTTTAGCGTATTCGGCGAAATTGAGCGTGCAATCGTTAAGGTTGATGACAGAGGTAAAACTACTGGCGAGGGAATTGTCGAATTTTGTCGGAAACCATCTGCTCAATTAGCTCTAAGGAAATGCACAGAGGGTTGTTATTTTATCACAGCGTAAGTTATTAAATTTTTTAACAAACTTTTTGAAAATTCCCCGACGCCACGCTTGTTTGATGTATCTTAATCTGCAAGTGCCTAATAATACAATTCTAGGGGTATAAAAAAATTAGTTTCATATAGGAAACATGGTTGATTACTTCTATTAATCGCTGTGTGCTGACAAATGAAACACAAGTTTATGTGAAATAAAAGAAATATAAGAAATTTACAAAATAGAAATATACAAAAAATGAAAGTATACTTAAAAATTGTAAAAATTGTTTTAGTTCTCTTCGACCAGTAGTTGTGGAGCCATTTGAGCAACAAGATGATGTAGATGGTTATCCTGATAAAAATTTGCCACGTAAGAATCCGGAATTCTTTAAAGCACGTGAGATTGGACCGCGTTTTGCGCAATTAGGCAGTTTTGAGCACGAGTATGGTACAAGATGGAAGCAATTACACGAATTATACAAGCAGAAGGAAGAAGCACTTAAACGTGAAATGGCAATGGAGGAAGAAAAACTGGAAGCCCAAATGGAATTCGCCAGATATGAACATGAGACAGAACTTCTGAGAGAACGTATGTAATTTTAATATTAATATGTAAAATACTGTGTCCTTTTTCTTATGTGATATAAATTATCATTTTTATTACAGAATTGCGTATGCGCGAGGCGGACCGTGAAAGACAGAAGAGAGAATGGGAAATGAAGGAGCGACAAGCGGAGGAGCAGAGGACTCGCGAAGAAGAATTAAGACGACGTCAACAAGAAGAGATGGCAATACGTATCAGAAGACAGGAAGAAGAATTGCATAGACGTCAACAGGAAAATAATTTATTTATGCAGGTTCGTTGAATAATAAAATATTTAATAAAACATTTTAATTAAATTGCACTTTTCTATAAAATTATATATTTTATATATTTTGATTATTGCGTACTTATCTTTCTTTTTTTTTATTTTTTTTTTTTTTTTAATTTTCTAGGAACAAGCAATCCGTAGTGGTGGTGGCAAAAGTTATGATTCTGTCAGTAATAATGATCGTGATGGATACGGGCAACCTGATGGTAAGCGTTTTTTTTTATTTTATTTTTATTTTAGAACAAAAAATTAGTTATGATAATCAACTTATATAGATGCATATAGATATTAGAGAGAATTATACAAGCTATATAAGCTCTAAACTTATTGATAAAACTGAGAATAGAACTAGAATTTATGACTTGTCTTTTCAGTCATAGTTTTATCTTTCGTATTTTAACAATATATTTTTTTTATTTCTTACAGGTGGAAGCGGCATGCCAGTGGTAACGTATCCCTTTTATTTACTCTTTTCTTTAACTTATATTTATAGCCTTAAGTTTTTTCTCGCAACTTTGACTTTCCTTTTTATGAACACATTCTCTTTTTTTTCTTCTTGGGCGGTACAATTTTGAAACATTCTTATGCGTTTCGCGCAAACCTTATTCATTATAATGAGCAAAATGCATGACGAAAGCAATTATTTATGACGGTGTATATAACACCATAAAGTTAAATTAGGAGGGTTTAATAAACCCTGATATATTCCCAAGTGAGCATGCTCTTTAATATTAACGCAGAGTTCTAATGTCTGCAAAATCAACAATTAATATTATCTTATTTTTAATTGAATTTATTCATGAAAATGTTCATAAAAATTTGTTTTGGATATTTGTAACATATGGAGGAATCAATGATGCGCACAATAAGACAATGCAATAATTTAGACAATGCAAGATACTTCAATACTGCTGGAGTGTCTGTATTAACACTGACTTTAGTTACAAGTTTCTCCATTAACTAATGTTGCCATATGCAAAGATCTGTAAAGCGATTATACAGCTGTTTTTGCTACTTAACTCATGAACATATTTCTATTGACGAGATATACGTTTTTGTTTTGCATCTAGTTCTGATGCGCAGGTATTCGAATCTATATATGAACTTTTTATTTTTTTTATAATGCGAAGTCTTCCATCGAAAGTGCTGATGCCAATGACTTTGTACTGAAAGTTTTGCTCAAAACTTCCAACTTTGTTGTATATGTACCAACTAGCATGCAAATTGCGCATATTTAAATTTTATTGCAGCGTTAAAGCAGATTAATAAAAAATGACTTTCATAACAAGCATTCTACTACTCTACTGCAAAGATCGCAGCTAGAAATTAGCAACCGTAATAATATCGTTCATCGACTTCAACAAACTTACGAATAAATTTTATTTAATAAGTTTTGCTACATTATTTTAAATGTTTTTTATATATACAAAAATATATATAAAGCATTTAAAATGATACATACATTAATTATTAATATGTAGGACATTAGACAAAAAATCCCATCACAATGTGATATTCTTGATTTTTCGAAATTAATTCGTATATAATCGTGCCACACTTGGCTTCCGATTGTAATATATACCTCTAAACTCTTTCTGCCTTCGAAAGCGATTATTTAGATCTACGATATAAGTGCCATATTGGTCTCTCCATATGATTGCAGACAGGAGACTCTGTGGTCTATTATTCTGTTGTAGTCTTAAGATTAATTTCATTTACTATGGAACATTAATACTTTCATAATTTGATATCACGGCTTTTATGCCTTCTGTGATAAAATATAAAAGTGAATATGAAAAATATATATAGTACGGTTCCATAGTAATTTTATTGACCAAGAAATGCCCAACTAGAGACTTTTCTTCAAAATAACTATATTAAGTTATTATAAAAATATCTCCAAGAAGATTTTCTCTGTATACTTGTACTTTCGCAGAATCTTCAACAAGTTGAATTTGAATCTTGTTTATTCATTTTAAACTTCGTTATTCTGAATACTTGGAAGCATGCTGTTCGCGGAATGCTAATGCTCCTGCATATCTTGATATATGCTCTATGATATATGCACTATAGAAATATTTTATGTACTGATTTGCATTATGATACATTTTTGAAATTTTACAAGCACGAAAATAGAGCTTGCTTAGAGACTTTGATCACGCCTCTTTGCTGCTTGCGTTTTGTGCTCGGAGCTTCAAAATTGTATGGAGACTTGTCAGTATTTTATGTTTAAGCAATGGAAATTTATTCTCAGCGTCTTCTCTAATGTGCGAAACTGACTTTCCACATGATTAAATGGATTAACCATTTTTATTCGGAAACATTTATTCTATGTGCTTTAATAAGTTCTTATTACTATAATCATTAGCGAGATAAACTTATTCGTAAATTTTACTCAATAATACGATTAGTAATTATCGTATAATACGATTAGTAATTATCAATATATAATACGATTAGTAATTATCAATATATAATATATTAGTAATTATCTAATACTATTGGGCTGGGAAATTTTTATAAAAATTCTATTTAGGTCAACACATAGAATATATAGGCGTACAAACATGATGTTTGTACTATGTTATGTTTACAAACAATGGAAATGTCGACGATTTCTGTTTATGCGACTCTCAGAATGAAATGGATCTCTCATTTCTTACTCCAGTATTATAGGATCTAATATATATATTAGTTATATTATTATTAAAATTGCAATCCTTATATAAATTTATCAATCTATCTTAATCATGCTTCAACTCTAATTTGAAATTTAATTTGACGATACAGAATTTGAAACTTCATAATTATATTTGATATACTTCCCGAATGTAATTCCCGACCTTCAATTTTTGAGTTGAAGTTCTGATTAAGAGAAACAATATATGCTTGAGATGAAATTTCGCGTAATAAACAGCCACACTGATGTTTGTCTACTCGCGTATAATGAAAATATTGTCTGCGTTGGGCATTCTCTTGGTCTAATAATTAATTAATGTCACAGAACGTATCCGACGAAAGAACTATATATTAGTAACAGCTGTATTTAGTGCAGCTTACTACTGTTGATGACACACAAACAGCAATCTAACATTATATTTTCCCCTTTCTTTTCTATGTGATTTGACGAAAATTGACGATGACCTCTGCTGCTGTCAAACATGGATGGTCGCCCTGAATCGTATACGGAATGTACTTATGGTACATCCGCGCATTTACACGCACACGCGTTCGTGCGTTCCTCTGATGTGAACGACATTCTCATCAATGATTAACAACAAACTCTCGGCTTTCCTATAAAATTCGCATTCTCTACGCGTTTTTATAGGATCCGAAGTCATTTATGGACGCGTACAATATGGATCGCGGTAATCGAGGGGGTTATAACGATGACCGCGGACAAATAATGGATTTAATGGATATGAGGGTTGACATGGGTAATATGGGTGGTGGACGTGGAGGTAGTGGTGGTAGTGGACGTTGGCAAGGAAATGATCGGAATCGTCCGGATGATTATCCCACCAAACGCCGACGATATTAGATATACGCAGTACAAAATTTTACGCTGATTTCTTAACACGCTACATTGTCGTACTATGTCCTTCGTTCATTCCTCTCTTTTGTATTATTTATCTATCTTGATAATCAACGAGGAAATGCGGAAGGAGTATTGAGAAAATTCAATATGATCACGATTGGACATCGATGGTATTATACTGATTTGAAAAATTGACTTGTGAATGAACGGTGCATGAGAATTTGGATTTAGATATTGATGTTTTGATACTTTGACAGATTCTGTGTCCTCCAGATGATATTTCTTCTTTTGAACGTGTATTCTGATTAAATATCAACAATATTAATATTATTAAAAAAAGTAACGTCATCAGTTTTAGAAATCTGCTTTAAATTGCTGTTTCTACATTGAGATTTATGCAAAAACATTAGCAATGAAAAGTAACATTTAATGTATACTTTATTATTGGACACAATTTATTCCGCAGTTTCAACTTAAATTATCACATAAAATTTATCATTAATTCGAAGCTTACTTCATAATTAATGAATGTCTCTTACATTTATGATAGACATGAATGAGATGTGATTAATATGTTCATAAATATTAGATAAAAAATCATCAATAATATGAATTTTTGTATATTTATATCACAAATGTCAGATGCATATGTTTACTACGAAGTAAGATTCGACGTTACAATTTATTTAAAAATCTTGGAAAAAATGTAAATAAGATAACAACATAACTTCCTAACTTTTTGTTCAATAGTATGTTATTTTTGTTCCGAATTACTATTACTTTATTAAATCGTTCATTTTAAATTTGTATTGTATCCTTTCATTATTCTTTCGATAAAAATCATATTATTTTATTTTTATTATTAAATAATATATAATTTAATTTTTTTTTTATAACTAGAATGCACTTTTCTCACTTATTATTTTGTACTCTTTACCTGAATTATGAAAATAACATCATTGTATAAGCGACGACGCATAGACGTCATGACTGGAATTTACTTTTTCAATTAATGTTTGACGCTTGTGATTTATCTTAAAAAGTTAGTATTATGTTATCGTATTAGGTGTCGAGTGTGATGATTGCATCATGAAAATTTATCAGTTTCTTAAATATTCAATAATTATCGTAGTATATAAGATATTATACATACATATATACATATATATATATATATATATACGCAGTACTACCTGCATATATTAATATTCAATACTTTGTGAAGAATCTTAATCTACAAAAGTATGATTAAAAAAATAAAGGTATATAATACCAACTTATATATCTTGATTTCTAATAGATATTAATATTACTTTGCCTTCTATGAATTACATATATGAATTACATATATAACTGATCTTATGTGATTTACAGATTACAATTTTTATTATCTACATAAAATATTACATAAAATATTTGATGATATATTAATTTTGCTTTCAGTTCAACGATTTTCTATATCTTCTACATAGGAAAGATTCAACCCTTTAAAATTTTTAGACAAAATTTCTAGCAAACATCTTTTGATATTTCATGATTTTTATTCTTCTTTGAAAACTTCTATGATGATTATGCTTTATATACAATTATTAGTAAATTTATGATAATTTTATGTTAATAAGATAAAACATGAAAATATTTAAAAATGTAAGCATTCTATAGAAACTATTAAATATTTTTTATTTAAAATTTCTTCAACAAAACTTCTTTAATAGGTAATATATCTAAATTGAGCTTATATGATCAAAAATGATCTTCTAATGAAAATCTGAATTTGTGTTTACTTTATTGTTACTATTATATTAGAAGTTTTTAGTTTTTATATAATGGGTATGAAGAGAAAACTTGTTCTTTAATAAGATGAATTATAATATTACCTTGTCCATATATTATAATAATATTCATAATTATATTATATTGTCCAATTAATATTTTATATTATAGTAATTGTTCTTTTTATTATTTGACAATTTGGCAATTTTATCTATTATTACTTTGATTCTTTAAGAATCATGAATAATAAGAAAAAAAGTATTTTCATCTTCAAGAATCTTCCACGTTCCAGTGCTTAATAATATTCATTTAGAACTGAATATAATTAATCAAGAGTCTTTTAACGGAGAGGAGACTACAATCACAAGATAGACTTACTTACTCGAAACTGCTAATCAATGAACTACCTGTTAATGAGGTGAGTAGATTTTGTAAAACTTATGCATAATCTTACTTTAATCTTCGGGTGGGACGTTAAACATTAGCAAAAATTACAAAGTGATCATTTAATAATTATTCAATAAGAGTATTATTAAGTTATTGTTATTTCCATTATGATTGTTTTTTTTAGTTTGTTTTATTATATTATCCATCATATAATATTACATCAGAGAATAAAAGAAGCAGATGGAGAATTACTTTGTAATGTTTGCTGACAGGCATTGCTATTGATTGGAATTTACAATATATATACAATTCATTCAATGTGCAACTAATATGGATAAATGGGTGATTTTATATTTTATAAATATTTTTATCTCCAACTCTTACTTAAGAAAGAACATTAAATCTTATTCTAAATAATTATACGAATTAAACACTAATCAGCCTAGACAGTACTTCTTTTCACCTATGACAACCACGCTGTCTGAATACATACCTAAATAAAATGGTTGTCTTGGTCTAGCTATTAAAATCTAGGCTGTGATAAAAAATTAAGTAACAAATTCGTACTTTGTGCCACTTTATGTGGCAAGGAATACTCGTGAATCTTACAATTCTGTCACGATTCTGACAATTTTATTATAGCGATGATTGAAAACCAATTTCATGGAAAATGAATATTGATCCCATGGGAGGGATGTTTTTAGTACGCAAAAATATATTTTGAACAGAAAACTAAATAGGAAACGCAAATGTTTGTAATAATTCCTGAGATACGATGTTGCATTAAAAAATATTATAATGATGACGAAATATATGTAAAGATCTGAGAAGATTTAGATTTTTTGAAGAAATCTGTGTGATTTAATGCACTATAATCTTTTCAGAATTATATCTTTAACACAAACATAATACTTAATTGCGACCTATTTGTATTTTCCCACATTGTTAAAAGTTATTATTAAAAATACAAAAATTAAAAGTACAAATTTTTGTACTTTTTTGAAGTTTTTACATATTTTTATAACTATTACTATTATGCGACAGGGTATTAAAATATACTAATAATTCGTTCCAGAATCTCACTCAAAAATTTTGTAGTAAAATTTATAATTATTTCGAAATATAAATTAGGAATTACCTATCATATTCGATTTTAATTATAATAAATATTTAAAATTATTTTTATTTTTGATAATGCAATATTTTTAATAATTGCATAATATATTTATAAATGTTCGTGTAATTTTAATTTAATATATTTTAACACATACATATTTTATAAATTATCTATATACAATTATTAAATATCTTATCTTAAGTATTTATGACTTTCTAAATCGATATATGAGACTTTGGGAATAGATATATCTATAATTTTATAATTTATTTATAACATAGGTTAATAAATATATAATATTAATAAGTACATAACACATAAAAAATACTTTTTAATCACACCGTTTTGTATGATGCAAAATTAAATACTTTAAAGTTAATATACTTTACAATGCAATATTGAATTTTTAATAAAAAACAATTTAACTAAAATTATTAACTAAAATATTTATTAAACAATGCATATTATATATTTTAGAAACTGAAATTTATTTTACGCGAATATCAAATTTTTTTGGAACTGGAGTCACTAGAGGACAATGTTTTTAATAAACATGTATTGATAACATGTTGTATGTTTTCAGATTAGTGCATCAACAGGTTGAGCAGAAACGGAAATCTGAAATATATAGGTACATTTTTTAATATTTGATAAAGATAATTTTTATATTTAATTATAATTTTTATTTTTAGTTATAATTTCAAATATGTTAATTAGAACTAAATATATGCTTTGTTCTGTATAGATCTTTTTGAAGTTTTGAAATTTTGATTTAATTTTTACGTTTTCATATTATTGATAAATCTTTTTTCTTTGTAAGATGCATACAGTGATGTAAAATTTATTCATTTTGAAGCTTTGTGATAGGAAAATAGTCCCAACGTACTGATCACAATTAAAAATTTCTTATTATTGATAAATACTCTTTTTTGCATTTTACAACATAAATTTTTTATTTTCTTTATAGTCTGATGTCTTGAAACGATGCTCACGCTTGAGGTTGTTACATGAAGTAACTTTACTATATCTGAGGTTTGTATAATTTAGAATTTCTCTGTACTTTCTCTGCACTTTATTCTTATCCATTTTTATTAATTTGATTGTGATGATAACTTGTATAAATGATTCTAAATGATTCTATTTGATCCTAACGTGTACTGATTAGCTAATCAAAATCTGATTTATACGACATAGTAATATCATATGCATATGTTATTAATTTTATTCTTGTTCTGTATTAAAGGAAAATCCTTGATCGAGAAGTAACACAAATTGCTCCGATATACGGAAATAGTTATGCTTTAAAGGTGAGATACTAGAAATATTAATACAAAAATTTGCATGCGTACTCTTAAATAATATAATTATATATGAAGAAATATAAATATATCGACATTAATGTAAAATATTATTGGCTTGCAATGATGATATACTTTCGGGTCTGAAACCTGATGTTAAAGATCTAATTCCAACGTGTACATTTTTTTTGACTGAAGCAAGCCTTGAACAATATTTTATACAATTAGTTAATTAATTGTCTATACTTGTTTTTCATAAACATATTTTGTATAGGGATTACAAGGCGCGTTCTCCCAAGAGTAATTCAGCGAATTAGTGGAATGGTAAAAAGAATACTCATTACATTTATTAATTAATCTATATTTACTATCTGAACTTTTCATTTTTTGTAGAAAAGATTAGGCAATAAAAATTACTAGTTAGACTTCTGTTTTGTGTGTTAATAATATAATTAATTTTTTACTAAAAAATTTAACGTTGCATTCAAAATAATTATAAGTTATGCAAAAGTTTTATACTGAAAATATAGTGATGAATAACTGGCTAGAGTCCTGAATAAAAGATGAGAAAGCACTCGTTCACATGCTGATTTGCACAGCATCTTAATTTTTAGCATAAAATTCATTTACGAAAATAATCAATTTTTATTTGTTACAGCATTCTGTGCAGTATGGTTCAACAATCAAAATTTAATATTCAAATATAATGACTTTATATCTGAATAAATATATAATTTTATTAATATCACTAATGTGTTGATCGATTTATTTTATTCAATCATCTTGGGTATTTTCTAACTCATAATGATGCATTATTATTTACTGGATATAAATTAGAATCAGCAAGAGCGAGGATATCAGGATAAATGGATATTGATATTTGAAGACGTTTTAGAAAAATATATAATAATATATATACATATCGTGAAAAAAGCTTTGACAAAACATTTTATTGTTAACCGCAGAAAAAGCCATATACACTTTCACACGAAATCGATCATAGTTCGATAATAATATTGAAAAATTTATAATTGAAATGTACATAAATATAAAGACGATGATGATGTTGCACGTTCCTCTCGTGTGTGCCAGAACTGTAGAAAAATTATCTCGAATATTTTTCGCAACACGTTAAACAACTTATTATTCAGTGATGACACGGGCGTATGTATGTAGAGTTCTTTTTCCTCATTTAATAAAATGACGATGCTAATTGCATTCTGAGGTGCGCTTTTATAAATTCAGAGTTTTGACTTCATGTATGAGATGCGATATATTTAAAATCGAATACACGGCCGGAGCAGGTGGAAGGAACGATTTTTGGTGTTTGCGCTTCTATAAATCTACCTAATCCTATATACTTTTAGCCGCGACGGTCAAGTGCCATATAATATATATATATATATATATATATATATATATATATATATATATATATATATATATATATATATATATTATTTATTTTTTATTGGTACTATCCGAACGCAGCACGCACCTTTGTTTTTATATCGCAAGTTAGTACTGATTAACAATAGCGATTTAAATTTTCACATGTTACGTGCTCTATCGTATAAGTCTCTATTTGTTGTAATTTACATAATATATATTTCTTCTTCCTCTAGAATTCCTTTGCGGTAACTTTAAATTTTTTTATGCGATATTTTATTTCTCTCTTACTAACGTATTGCTCAAACAACTCGAGAAACCTGCGCTCAACTTGTACCAATAAAATCCGATCCGTCCTTCGATTATTTCTTTTCATCGTTCAACATTATCGATATTATCTCAATTATATTTTTATCTGTTAATACTTATTAAATATTCTTTTAATTATTGTAGATCACAGACAACTTGTTCTTAATCCATAAAAACAATTCAATTATCTTTTTTTTTCCCATAGAATTACCGATGTGTGTAGAATGTGCTTTTCGTCGTGGTATGTCGGTGTGTATGTGTGTGGATGTGTTGCTTGGTGTATGATCGCAGAAATAGCACAAATTCCGAAAACGTGAACCGATGTCGAGCGATAATTACATATGGTCTTTTTTCACATCTCGCCCAGTTTAATGCCGCATGGAATACCGATCATTTCGAAGGATGGAGGCACCAGGTTGCAAATCAAATAATTACATTTTGAATTGCGTCGAAATATCGAGACAAATATTAAAATTAAATTGCTTGCAGGCATCTCGAAGTATTATTCGGATACTCTTAGGATCGGTTTGTTTCCATGCGGCATGCGGTTTGGTTGATGTGATCTCAGGCGACATTAACACTAAAATCGTAACGTAGCGTACGGCTAATCACGTTCACGGCCGACACTGAGACGATAAGACGAGCCGTTTTTTTTTTTTTTTTTTTTTTAAGTCCTGAGAAGTAGCACGAAGCTCGATTACGATTGATATTATCGAGATTACAATTTATTTAAAATCATTGGGTTGCAAAGCACGTTTCACCCTTGGAGGGATGCTCATTAAAACTTATATGCAGAACAGCTCAATCTTGTAAAAATATGTCAGAATATACAAATGGTACACGTTGAAAAAAATATTTAGAGACAACAGGTCTGTTCTTTTTAATTATGCTTTCAGTACTTGTTTTCCTTGCTTTCTTTCCTAAGAAACGGCGCATAATTTACGACGTTTGAACACAGAAAGCGCATCTAAAAACAACAGGCCATCTCGGATCTTGAAAAAAAAAAAATAGTCTCCTTCTTGCATTGTACCGAATATTTCTTCGCCTTGTGCACTCGTATCGATTTAAATGCATATATGTAGTAGCAAGAAGGTACCGCTACGTTTCTTCGTGCATGTCGGTCAGGTACCTGAAAACGTTAGAATTTGTGCGTGTGGAGATCATAATACATGGACGAGGCCGCAACAGAGTGCGTGGGTGGACACTTGCGAATCGCGCGGTTTTTTTTTTCTTTTTACTTGCAAAAGCGTGTCGCTAGTTAAAGTGGAACGGACATGATGTCGTCGGTGTGTCTGATAAAAGTGTCTAACGTGATGCACGCGAGTGGACGCATCATGATCACACAGCAAGCGAATTACCTGATAATACTCGTAACGTTTAACGGCATTTAGCTCATAGTTTACTGATTAAATTCTTTAGTCCATAGATAACTCGTGACTTTAATATACAGCGCGTGATGCCGCGAGTGGAACCTCGTCGCGCATCTTTCTCTCATCTGCGTTTCTTCGGATGGACGTCCGTTCGGTATCGTTGAGTGAACCAGAGAGCGTATACTCGGTACCCGTTTCGTTGCAAGTTTGCCATCTCTTGGTCGTTTTCGAGAAACGGCACGAGCTTCGAGATCGATTCGGTTAATTACGGACATAAATGTGATAGAGGTAAAAAAAAATCTATCATTTGTGTAAGAACACTGCAAGAGTTTCTCTCTAAATCTGGAGCGCGACGCCACGCAAAAGGACGTACGCTCCGGACATTTATAACAGATTTATAATCTGCTGTTAAATTTATCGTCCTTATTAAATACAAATTTTTATCTTACAGCTATTAGACACATATAATTCAAGAATAGCGCAGTATTTTAGTTTTTTTTTTTTTTTTCCTAGGTACTCCTGGCGTTTCCGAAAATCGACAGATTGTTTCCTCTAGCAGAACGATCACTTTCCGCCGCGGATACATCGTGGAAAATCGTTTAAAATATACGGTATACCAAACCGCTACGTATACGACAGTAAGGACAGATTCTTCGTGTACGGAATGCGATATACAGGCACGAGATTCGCGAGTTGATTTCGGATCGCGAATCGCACTTAGACAAGCTGCGAAGAAGGCATCGTGCGAGGTAAATCAATTCGGCGCGCGGGATAACGGCTGCCGCGTGCCAACGTTAAACATTGCAAGAAACGAAGAACTTTTTCTGGCGCATATGAGCATCGCGTCTGAAGATATCACGTTCAAGAGGGCCGTCTCGTCTCCTTGGTACGAGCTGCGAGACAGAGTCATCGATACGCGCGACTTCGCAAATTGAGCTATTATCGAGTAGGAAAAGGTTTGTCGCGAAATATCGTAACACCTGCAAAGTACAGTCGGCGGCGGTAACGAGGAAAGATTTAGTACAATAGAGAAATGGCAGATTCAACGTCAAAGTTCCTCTGACGTCACCGTGTATTCGCGTGCGATTCGAATTGCTCGAGAGAGTACCGAATGTTCCTCTGGTTCACTCCATGAATCGCAAGGGTGGATTTTAGTCGGTCCTGAGGCAGAAAGATAACTTGGCTCTTCCTCTATAAAGCTTCTTCGGCTACTGTAACGCCTTGCTTCTTTAAGAACGGCGATGGAATCGCCTAATGTGGTCTCCACGAGATATTATTCAGACCCTGAAAATGTCTCTTCAAACTGCCGCCGTCGGCCCAGGGGGAGTTGAGATACTCGTCGTCATCGTCTTGCTCAAGTTTCTGAAATGTAGAAACAAACATGAAACTTTTCTTACTTATTATCATTTTAATAAGAAATATTATCTCTTATAATATTCTTGTAATTTCGTTGCTTGAAATTGTAGAGTGAGATCAAATCATTTACACATGTCAAGTTATTTGTAGTAAAGCTGTGCATAATCAAATGTAATTTCTCTCTGCTCTCTTTAAAGGAATCCTGATTATTCTCTATACATAACACATAAAATACACATAAAACATAATTTATAACATAAAAAATAATTTATAATAATATTTATTGTACTTCTAATTATATTGCACTGCATTATGTTGTCCTTTTAAAATCAGCACATTTTATCCTTTCTGCCTTCTTTTAATTTTAATCTTTATTTTCAGCATCTCGCATATTAGGCCAATTCGTAAATTCCAAATCTCGTTGACATCCTGAACTTGTTCGTCTGTGTGCCTAAAACGCAGACGACCCTAATACCTCGGTTTCTGCAAGCTCGCGTAATATTCGCGAATACAGGCCATCGCGGGAATTCGGCAATGTAGGAGAGCTTTGAGGGCCATCGTTTGGAAGCCATGGGGAGGGCTGAGAAAGCAAGGGTGAGTTAGGCGGGGCTTGGGTGGTTGTTGGGTCAGAATCGATGCTCGCGTCCTTGCTTGGTATCAGCGTGGCCTCCCTCACGCATTCCGTATAAACGTCAAAACCACAGGTCCCAGGTTTGCGTGGGGGTTGACTCGCGATTGATCATAAGCACACGTGCGAACTCGTGCCGCACGGAAACGTGCATGCGTCGAGCATTTACTCAGGCAAGAATAGATGAATTAAACAAAGTAATATTGGAAATTCCTTCTTAGTAGAATAATACATTGTTGAATTTTTCGAAATTTCAACGAATAGTTGGGATCTATTAAAATTTTTATTTACAGTATTTTTTTTTAACTTAAGATTAAATATTTTTTTCAATAATATCGAGATATTAATGCAAACATTTTTTGTGATTGTTAGATTTGCAGGGGAAAATTTGTTTATCAGAAGAAAAATGAAAGAATTATTTATCTAACTGGCAAAACAATAAAAAAATATTAAGAATAGGAAGATTGCAAATATTGCAATCTAATTCCATTGAATAAATTTTTCCAAAAGTTGGATAATTTCTCTGGAAATGTTATTTTCTTCATTCCAACTTGCAGAATAATAATTACGATTTTCTTTCTTATTAAGATTTAAAAATAAGAAAGTAAAGTGGAACAAAGTAGCATAAGTAGCTTTGCGTGAAAGCGTACTTGTTACTACATCTCCTTGACAAATATAATGAGTCAAACAATGTTGCGCGTGTAGTTCTTTCCGAGAGTAGCGCGGATTATTTGTGGATGTAGAACCCACTTGTCTGGTATATTTGCTTAAAAATATTTGTCGATACTTCACTGTTTGCATGCACATGTTTCGTTTATAATAACATTTTGAAATATTTGAGAAATGTCAGAAAAATACACGCTTTATGTAGAGATTACGAAAACAAATTCGTTACTCAATTGTCGTACCCAATAGCGTACTCATAAAAGTCCACTTGAAAGATGAGACGCGAGGAAATAGGGGATGTTTGATCATTGCTTCTGTCGCAGCCTTTTGAATGGTAGATATGAATCGAGAATACTTCAGAGAGATTACTCTGTGTGTGCGGTTGAATGCGATGGTGGGAGAAGCGGCGACTCGCAGTCTATCGCGCAACCTTCGACCTATATCGCCCTGCATCCCGACTCGCTATTTATAGATAGATGCGCCGGTACTGTGGTTGAGAGCACTTAACTGCGCCATCATTTTATCATATCGATAACGCTTTATGAACAAATTATTCTTATGAAATTAATTGTGAATGTAGAAAAAAAGAGACTGATGCAAAGAGGGGATACGATTTCCATATAGCCCGTATGTATTTTTGTAGCGACCCATTGAATATTCTGCAAAATTTATAGGTCAATCTATCTTTCGCGGATTTATCCTGTTTTTCTTCTACACCTACAAAAGCGACATTCAATCACATACGTGACCGAAAACATTCGAGACTTTCTCGTCGGAAATTCCGGATCGCTATAATTTGGAATTTCTATCAATTATTAAATATTTTGGACAATATATTAAAAAAGAGGAATTATAAAAATATAGACAACATGAGAGAGAGAGAGAGAGAGAGAAAATTTTGTATGAAGGTGATTATAAATATCAATGTTTATTCTGTTACGATATTTTGCAGAATTTTTATAACTGATTTCTCCGCAAATCAACCCTTTAGAATCCGTGATTAATTTCAATTCATGCCAGACATAATTTACAAAATTATTAAAAATATATGTGATTTGATATATTTTTATTTGTTCAAGTCTCATCTATTCGTATGGAAGTTGAAATATTTTATTTCTATCATTCAAGTAAAACGGTCCAATGCAGTAATAATTGATTTGTCACTGAAGAGATGCACGTTCTAGCGAACATCTTTACGTACAATGTCCTCAGAACGTCAATATCCGTAAAATTTCCCATTTCACTTTTATTGTTAACATATTTCGCGATGGCCATAGAAACATGAATATTTCGAGCTATTTGTGAACAATTTAGCACGTCAATCTGACTGCTGACTCTACTAACTAATTTTATATAGAACAGAAGGATGCTTGTTCTTCTTGGATTATCGAACTTGGATTATCGAACACCTTTGGTTTGCCGCAAACCACGAGGGAAATTGACTGAATACTCCTATGGCAACATCATACTTGAACATAAATCGGACTGCGAGATGACATTTACGCACGCAGCGCGCTAGTTCTACTCGACGGAGTCATTCATTCAGACGACTTTATGCCTGACGTAAAATTATTACATCTGAGTGAAGCACTTAGACAGCCAAGCTAGCTCTTACGACAACATAAATACCTTACTGTGATTACGAGCGGAGATGGGTAAATAAGCAAAAAGAGAGAGTCTCCTCTATTCTAAATTGTGTTTCTGAAAGCTTCGCAGTAGTCATTTTTCATATTTCATTTTATATATTCTCTGCATTCTGTGTATTTATGCCGAAGAAAGATCGCGCCAAAGTAGCTTTACTGAGGATTAGACAGGCTTACCATTCTTAGGGAATAAATCGTACATCGGTGGTTAAAATTATTGCCTATTTATTGTTGGTACTTAAAAAGTCTTTTCGAAGTCAAAAGATTTAAAATCGAAATCGGTTAAGGTACAAATAAAATAATAAATAATGAATCTGGACATCGACACATCCTCAGAGTCAATCAATATCAGGTTTTCGAAGCTTACCCCTGAACAGAGAGCGAGTTAGGAATCCCGTCAAGACTTTCCCTGCTGATGTCATCGGCCATTGCGACCTTGAGTTGGTGCCCAAAGCTCGCCAAATCCTCCCTGAAGGCTTCACTTCCGGGCGTCAATGCACCGCTAGTGGGTGGCAAGGGTGTACCATCGCCTTCTTCCTCCTCATTTTTCTCACCCTCTTCGCCACCTACCAGGATCTCCTCATCTTCGTTGTAGATCTTGAAGTAGGCGATGGTGAGGTATATCACCGAGATTATGAAAGACGGTATCGGAATCGCCATCGCGTACACAAGGTTCATGTACACCTGAGGGAGGGTTTCAAACATGTGACAAGAGCCAAGTCGAAATTGAACATCCAAGGTACACTTTTCCCTAAACATCGATATGTTTGGAAAAAATCCCACGAACGAATTTTGACTGGAAGATTAATTAAATTGAAATATTTGTAATCCAGCTTAGATTTCATTTTTCAAATTATTTTTGTAATAATAAATTAAAAATAAATAATTAAATAAATTTAAAAAATATATATCTTGATATCATTATGGAATTTCGTCGCTAAAATGCGATGAATTGATTCGGTAAAGCGATTTTCCTGTAAATTTGGCGGAAGAATCGCGCGCACGAAAGAATCGCGTTATTTGCGCCAAGCATTTCTTCCTATCATCCATTCGTTCGAGGGATTGACACTTGTGCAGCATCTAGAGCACGGCAGTGGGCTTTTCCGGAATCGCCGATGTTATCGGCGATTTATAATAGCACGCCGGCCGCACACTCGTGGAAATTGGATTTCTGCGCGCCAGGAAAAATTTTCTTTTCTTCCGGCCGTCGCGTCGCACACCACGATGGCTTCCGTCTTTGTCATCGGCTGCCCATTCAACCGCTTGAAATGCATTGTCCGTTCCTCCGTGGAGGCGATCGCATTCCCATTGCCGTTAACGCTACTTCATCGTGCCCCACGTTCGGGAAATCCTCCTTCCGCTTTGCTATCGCTTACATCGTTTGCGCGTAATCTTTTACGTAATAATTCCAGCGAGTTCAACCTTTGGTGCAGATACGGAGAAATTTTATTTTACGCCCCATCGTTTCGCGGTATTTAAAATTTAAATTTGACCAACCATTACCTCACTCTCAATATGAAGTTGAAATTATAAAAAGTTAATAAAAAAAAAAAAAACAAGATCGAGATAAGAACAAGCTGGAGCTTCATTTGCAGCAAAGAGTCGTGATTAAAATAACAGTCAAGCAATAGAATAATTCCCGGGAGAGTAGCTTCGTACTCCAATTAGAGTTGATTCTGTATGAATTCATTACCGTGATCCATTTAACCATTTCATACGGAACAGTTTCGTATATATATATATTACACTTTGCTCCCGGTAGGCAGCCGCAGTATCGATTCTCAAGTGCGCGGCTCGTCCTGGCATAAACTCGGGCAAAAGTCACACCGCACTTTCGCGTGACTCGCACATACCGATGTACAGAGCGAAATCGCCAACGATTACCGGGTTATAATACGGGGGCTTGAGCCGATGAATGCCATCGCGATTCGGGGGGGTTTCGTATCCGATGATACCCGGATTTGGGATTGAATGCAGGGGAAGACATGGAGGCGCGATGATTAAAAGGACACCCACGCGTGGAAAGTAAAAAAAATTAATACAATGGCGCCAGACCTGCCACATGTCGAGGTCGCTGATGACTATCCCGGGATCCACTTTCGAGTAGTAACAGCTAAAGTTCTGCCCTATGTTGGCGTACTGCCGGTAGAAAATACTGCAATTCAGCATTGGAGGGTATCCACAGCCTTTTACGTTGGGGAACAGCTTGGCCCCGGTGAAATACCACACGGAGTCGTTGCCCATGAGACCTGCGAACTTCCTCTCGTTATTGTATTCGGCGACGGGGATGCTTTCCAGCGGAAGAACAAGCCGGATGGGGACAAAGAAAGCAAGTATGACTCTTGTACATAGCATGCTCTCGCATTCAACGAAAAATCGCTGAAGCTTTACCGGAGAGAAGTTATCTTTCTTGCGAACTCGCACCAATTCTAGTTCTCTACTTCTCGGCTTAGTTAAATCTGTTTCAAGGAGTTTTGACGTGGCGTCAATTGAAATAATTGCCACAATGCAGATTTTTCAATGCGTCATTCGGATAAACGGTTATAAAATCGGTTGTAAAATGCAACAAACTAACTTTATTAGATATAATGTAATCGTGAAAACTTGTAAATTGTTTTGGAATATTTGTAGTATTGTATTATCTCAACGTTGCTATTTTTGTTAAATAATATCTTTAATTGGATAACAATATAGAGTTCTCTGATTTTATGATATTCACGATGATATTCAAATGTCAAATTACAAATATCTCTGCATGCACGTGTAAAATATCGATTACACGAACACACAATGCTTTCCCTTCCAATTATATAACCGCTCGGTTAAAAACAATATGGATGCAATATGGATGCAATAGATACGATGGAGGTTGGATTAAATGTACGATAATACTCGGTTCTCCAATCTTCAGTGATATTCATTTTATACCTGTAGGGAAAGATTTCGGCAGTCCGTTCTCGTCATCCTCGACAAAGTTCTCGTCGAGATTCTCGATGTAGGTCTCGCCTAAGGAACGCTCGTAACGAGGCATCCGCTTGTTTCCTTCGTCGTCCTCGACACCTCCTACCGCCCCGCCTTCCCCGTCCGGCCCTTCGGACGTGTTATCCGGTAGCTTATAGTTGACGCGTATTTGCGTGCAATCATACAGCTCCTTAGTGCAACCCTCTCTACAGGATGTCCATGAGCAATTGCTCGCACCTGGACTCAACGATTCATTCATGGAAATTCGGCCGCGGTATGTAATCCAAGCACAACACACAGAACACTCGCGCGTGAACAAATTGAAGACTGAGGGACACCCGAGTACACACATACATAGTCGTAAGAACGAAGGAAAGCGTGAAATTGAAACAAATTGAAACGCCATAAAGACAACGTAGAAATAACTCTTTACGACAATTCATTCGAGACTGAAGCTTAAAGCTCACAATTGTCCAAGCGTTATAATAATTTTTGAAATAACAAGCATTATATATAATGCTTTCTTATAATTTGTGAGGCAATTTTTATTTCTGAATTTCGGAAAAATCTACTATCAATATGATACTTAAATGAAAAAGTGAGTAGCTCGCGGCTCATCAATTTACTCCAAATGTAGGGTCGATACAATGCAAACAAACAAACAAACAAACACACAATACGAGAAGATAAACCACCGTTTGAAACGAATGTGGGAAACGTGCATACATCAGAGTCGAAGACGATGGAAGCGGAGATTGAACCATCAGAAAATGTTTTGCATCGTGATGTAGCGGGGATGTTGACACGAGGCTGGTGCTCAATCGGAGGAGAACACCTTATTGACGTGAACATGAAGAGAAGAGAATTCAAGTGACGAAGGAGAAACAAGAGGACTCGAATGAGTGCAAGCCGCGGGGATACAAAGACACCAGTTGCGTCGATCTTATCACGACTCGTTGTGATCCTCTTAACTAGGGATATTGGTCTCGATCGATTTTTTTCAATCTGTTTATATTATTTCTGTAATATTTTATTCTAATATATAATATAATATTTTAAATTATTTATATTTTATTTGATAGATAAGATTTCACTCTCATTTTCACAAATGTTATTTAACGACAATTACAATTTCGCTGAATTTCTCTATTTTTCAATTTTATATATATATATTTTATTTATTTATTTATTTATTTTTAAGAGGAAGAATTAATCAAATTTTATTCAATACATATTTCCACATTCTCATATGATTTAAGAGAAGTCTTCTCAATCATGAAGAGAAATGCCGTTCTCTGGCTTTCAAATGTATGTAAATTTTATGTCATGATATTCATCCAACAGCAAATTAAAATTTATAGGATAGTATTAAACTTTCAGGTTACGTATTCACATATGTGTGATGGATGATATGGCATGAAAGGTAGATGCGTGCCATTGGGGAATAAAAAATTCATAGCTTTTTTTTATTATTACAATCTTCATAGAATTTATCATGAGCCAAAGCGAATACTTAGAAAAGTATTTCCCAGGCGGCAAAGGAAGACGAAATAATATTCTTAAACTTTTGTCGTTAAAATGTGATTACTTTCATAATTGTTATGCGTTGACCTTCCTACGATTTTATCAATAAGAAGTGAACGCAACGTTACTATTTTACGTCAACTATAAATAATGATAAATGATAAATATTAAATTAAATGTGGAAACGTCAGCTGTTCCGTACGGACGTTCTTTGTCATTTTTATTCGATGTGAAAATAGCCTTTCCAATCATTCATGAAACTCGCATATTTTAATGCTGACCTAATTCTCTAAATGGAAATTTACGTCAGTTCCTGATGTTCGTCTATCATCGTCTGTCACTTTTGGTCATAACACGAAATATTTTCTTGATATAACAATATATGATTTTTTTGTTTAAAAAAAAAGAAATACTCGTTTTTCCTAATATTCTGAATACTTTTTTAAGCGATGTGTTCTTTATGCGAAAGATCAAATGTAATTATGGATGATTCTTTCTGCAACTTTAAGATATATCTCTCATCGCACACATACAAGCGCAGAATGAGATATACATTTATACCAACAAACACACATGCTTGAAACAGAGGATTGAAGGATTTAATTGCGCGCGAAGGGGAGACCTCAGCGACGAAGAGCGAAGAATAGAGAATTCACAACACACAGCATGCAACGAGGAGCGACAACGAGAGCGAACGGGTGATATAAGGGTGACGATTGTTCACCTCTTCTGGACTCAACGTCGATGGTGATACACTCGGCGGGTCGAGTGTCGAACTGCATGAAGATGGTAGTGAAGGCGGGGTCAATAACGAAGGGGACCAAGAAGAGGAAGGCGAAGAGGCTGAAGGTGCTGAGAAGGATGAAGAACGCGGTCGTGTAGAACAGCAGCTTCTGCAAGAACGTCTGCTTCTCCTTTTCATCCGCCATCTCGGAGAACAAACGGCAGTGCTGGTTTTGTGCTGGAGGCTGCTAAGCGACGCCGTCGTCGTCGTTGTTGTTCTTGTTCTTGTCGTCGTCGTCGTCGTCGTCGTCGTCGTCGTCGTCGTCGTCGTCGTCGTCGTCGTCGTTGTCGTCGTCGTCGTCGTCGTCGTCGCCGTCGTCCTCGGCGTGCTTGCTGCTCGTCGTCAGACGTCGGGCGTCGAAGAGACGGAACGATCTGCGAACAATTCTTGAGTATTTGTCCTCTGTCTGGGGATCACGAGTCGAGTTTTCTTTATGCGCGCTCTTCCGAAAGACCTCGCGGAAAGTCACGGAATCACCCCTGAGAGATGATTTCTGTCACGGAGATTCCCAGGGGTTAGTATGCGCCGGAATGCTTCCGTTAGAGGCGAGACTCTCTTTGTACGCATTGTGCAACGAGGGCCATTTATCTTGATCGCCCAGAAGCGACGTACACCGCATCGATTAATTTTTCTTTCTTTTTTTTCTTTCTTTTGCGGCGTACATTCGGTCGAGTGATGAAAGAGTATAATTTTTTACATTAGCCAGGTCTTGTGTTTCACAAGCTATTTTGTCCTTTGGCCAACTAGAAGCACGTTTACAGGGCCCGTAAATAGCAAATGGAGATAGGCAAAATCAATACTATCAGCAATGAATCTAATACTTTTATAAGTTGCGATATAATTTTTTTTCTTTTTTACATTAGGAAATCATTTTTGCATATTGGGAAATAATTTTCCAGCCCTAAATTTTCCAAAAAGTTTCATTTTACCATTTGTTTTAAACAAAAGTATTATTAGACCTAGACCTATTATAAATTTTATGACTCTAGTTTCTTATAATATGCTGGTCTTATAGGATACCTTTAATTTCAACATAAGTTATTGTAAGAAGTAAAGTGTTGGACAATTACGTGTTTCCAACTTGGTCTATGGCACTATCGGCTTTTGGTACAATGACGTGATCGTTCGATTCTCGTTATAGATAAATGAGACGGACAATACCCATTAACGTCGTATAACTCGATTTTTCATTGAATTCTTGTTACAAATAAAAGATTTCTTTGTAAATTATTATCGGTTACTTCATTAATTATATTTTATTATTAAACTTTTGCTGTTTCCTATAATATTTATAAAATTTATGACAAGTATCGAGACGAAATTTATGATTATTAAATTATTCGGAGCCTTTAATATCAAGATAAATTTGTTGGACATTAAGAACAATTTATTGAATTTTCTGTTGGCCAAGAAAAACGATCGTTCTCAAAATTGATCCGGGTTCTAAGAGCCGAAATATTGCCTTACATGTTATTGGAATTTATTTATATGGATTATTGTCACGCGTGTACATTGCACGAGAGTCGATATTGTCGATAAGAATAAAACATATGCCAAGCTTTAAGGAGGTTTATGTGAGTTCACGTGGGGACGTTTAATCGAAGAGATTAAAAACTTTATATTACGTCCTTCGTGCACAGGTGCTTGAAAATAATCATTTACTTGCGCAGTTTAGTTTTTGTTAAAAAAAATGAACACTTAATTAAAGTATTAATAAAACTTATTTATATACTCTGAAGATAAGAAGAAATCGATTAAAAGAGCATTTTGTATGCCATAATAAATTAATTAAGAGAAATCATAAAATTATTAATATTATATATTGATAATGATTGTAATCTATTATTTATTTAAAAGAAATAATGCAGTTTGTTTATAAATGTTTACAAAATTTCAATTGAAATGTTAATTTACAATTTATGATTAAGATTTGAGAATTGTTTTTTTTTATATTTATTTATAAATTACGCACATAAATTATATATTTTTTTTCTTAATGACATGCATGAAATATATCTGTATAGTATTTTTTAAACTCGTTGCACTTCTAATACATGATTTATTTCGTGGTTTATACCCTATTGTATAGCGTGCCTTTATTGCGAGTCTAGCTAACCTTTCCTTTATCTAATGTAATTTTTATAGCAAAGGCAAATAATAAAAGCCGCGATTATTTGAAAATCATTAAAAATTCTAAAAACATATTTTCCGCTTTTACAATTACACATAAAACAATTTCAGTTATAAATAAAATTCAGTTGTAAATTAAATAAAACTATGAATTTAAACAATAAAGCGTAACATCTTTATAAAGAAATTCTTTTGTGAAGATATTCTTTTATATATTGTTAGCTTAATAAATTTATTTACGTAATCCTTTTTTTATCACTTACTTCACGCTTCATCAAAAGAAACATTTATCTACATGAACGCTGTTTACTTTTGTAAAATGAGAGAAAAAGTAGACTTTACATCACATTAAATAATAATTTGAGAATCATTAAACATCTAAGAAAATAAGCAATGAAATGTTCTCGTTTTCGTAGATATATTCCAGATATAAAGCTTACAAATTAACATCTCAGACTATGATTCTAAAAGCTCTTTTTCAACGTGATGCAAACTTACACACAGAGATAACGTGTACTTCTATATAATGATCTTTGAACGTTGTACTTGCAAATGAGTTTTGTTCGGCGTGCAAAAATTTAAATCTCCCTTCACGAGATCTGAGATAACTCGCGATATTTTCGAAGCATCCTATTTTAAGGCGCTTTAGGCGATGTTGGATCTCAAGCAATATAAGCTCCGAGAATCTCGATCGGAATGAGTCACGCAAAGAAAGCTCGAGACTCAGCAGCCTTCGGGGTCGACGTAACGGTACCCCCTATGTTGAAGATGCGACTGCATCAGGGCTCGGCGCCCTTTTCTGTGCCCTCTCATCATCATCGTCATCATCATCATCATCATCATCCACCTCCCGTGCCTCCTCTTCCCGCGTTCCTCGCTCCTCTGCCCTCCTCCCGATCTCTTCGTCTCCTACTTCCGCGCACTATGTCACACTGCTGTCCACCGTGCACATTTGTCCCCGTGAGAGATACGCGAATCACCGCGACGCTTTCGGCACGAGGATACCCTGGCTTTCGCTGCCAAAGGCCGATTAAATCGGGGAAACGTGAAAGGGAAGAAGGGTGCAAGCAAGATAAAAGGGAAAAGGATGAGGCTAAGGGAATGAAGAAGCGATGTACCGTCCCGCGATTGGTGGATCACGATGGAATACGCATAGCTTTCAGCGACGAGCTTCCATCGGCAGATTTCCCACGGCAGAGAAAGCTCTATTCTAGCCGCGGCGCCGACGGATGCCGGGCTACTGCAGTCGGTGGAGCTTTCGGACGAGCTTATTTTCCAGCGATGCCAGCGCCAACGACGGTACCTCGTAGCATCGACCGCCGCCACCACCGTGACGATGACGATAAGGACGACGACGGCGCGAAGCATCCCCGTCGTCCGGGGCGGCCCCCGTAAACCCCGATCACCTTGCGCTCCCTCTTCTTCGGAGGCTCGCTCCCCTCGCGCTTTCTCCCGCGATTAATCCGGCGTACAATTTATTGCTGTTGCTGTCTCTCGTCGGACGGCACGCCGTTCAGCGATTTATATCGCTATAACTGTCTCACGAGCTTCGAAGCGATACCGAAGCTTTCCTCCCGAAGGTTTTCCTTTTTCTTCTTTGTTCAATTAGTTTTTCTCCCTTTTATATTTCTTTGACGTGAAAAACGTGAAAAAAAGGATAAAAATGCGGGGAAATTTATAATCTAAAATGTCGTAATCTGAGAGATTTCGGTCTTTCTCAGAGAAATATACAAATGTATGAATGATTATAAATTATAATTTATGTTTATTCATTAGAGAATGTTTAATTCAAGATACTTAACATAAAAAAGCTATAAAAGTTACAAGTCTGTGTTGAAAATTATATCTTTAAACGAAAGATAAATATAATGGAAGATTGCATTCTTATTTCTTTTTTTTTTTTTTTTTTTTAATTTATCTGCGACGTAATATCGCAGATTATTTTGTGATTAAAATATTTTATCAATTTTTGTCTTTAATATTACCGTTTTTATCTTTCATATATTTTTCATCTTGTTTCTCTCTTATTATTTATTCAAAGCGATATACAACCCCCGAGAAGAAGATTCGCTATCGATTTGAGAAATTGGAAGAATCACTTGAAGAATAAGGATAACGCATTGCTATTAAGTTAAACGCAGCAAGCTCATAGGTTTCATATTATTTAAATTTTCTTCATAAATAACAGAGATTTTATTATCGCTACTCCAGCTTAACCAAGTGTGCTTTAATTCTTGGAATTTCAAATTCATATTTATTGTCGTATAAAAGCTGCCTTAAAAGTATAACGAGTGAGATATTTAAAATGAAGATTTTTATTTTGAGATGCAAGCGGTTCGATATGGTGACCTTTTGATTACAGAACAACAGAGACTATCCAGCTGAGAAACTTATTTAATTATTCTAAGTAAAATTTAACTTGACATTCAAGCTATCGATTAAAGTGATACGCGCTTATTTAAGACGTATCTTCTTTCTAAAATCAATGTCAAGATTTATTTATAAGATGGTTACCTGCATATATTTTTATTGAGAAACCGATTTCTATATCTCAGTCAAGATGAAAAAGACACAAAAATAAAGTTCAAAGAAAGCGTCATCCTTTTTATGTGCCAGATGCACTTTCCTTCTATCTGAGGACCAAGGGCTAATATCTTTGAGGTTGAAGAGGGAAATCCAATAAGCGCTTCGATCTAGTTGAAGTTTGAAACAATGATGAAGTCACCAAAACGAAGTTAAGTCCCTTGCTGAAGTTCGCTTCATCCACAAGATGCAGAAATTTTGAGAGAAATATCGAGTGCTTTCGATCAATCGATACTTTCAGCAACATATACGTATATATCTAGATACAAACTTATTTTGAGAGTACTCATTTATTAATAAATATTCCGCTATTCCAAGTACTATTTTCCTCGGACGGTTATTATTATGAATGACGTAACGCACGACAGATGGTCGGTCTCAATATTCATTTCCGTCTATGATAAAGAAAGCATCGGCTATATCGTGTAATGCAGCTTCCGTCGCGTGTTAAAATTGTGTAAACGCCATTAAGAAAGATGTCATCCGATTCGCAGCAGCTTCCATTAACAAGGCGAACATAGTTTATTGTACGCTCTTTGATACCTCGCCTGTGAAATGTGGGACACGGTTCACATTTCGCGATTATCAAGTACAATCACGCCTAAGTTTAGTTAGAGAAATTGGATTTTGCTTTTAATCAATAAAGAAAAGGGAGATATCGGCACAAAAAAAAAGAAAATGTGATTGTCAACATTCTTCCATAGAATAAATCACTAAAAATTAATTTTTAATTTTGATTTAATATTTATTTTTGATTTATAATTTTGATTCAAAATAAATCTTCATTAATGATTAATAAAAGTTTAAATATTTTTAATATTGAAATACAGTTGTTGATATTTTTCACCACTTTTACGAATTATGACTATTATTCAGAGTACAGAAATTTTTATAAACTTTTATTGCTTGGTCTTTTCTTTTCTTATTGAGGACGTTGTCATCTTTATTGAGATGGAAAACGAAATACACTTGAGCGTAATCAAATTGTTTTCGACTTGAATGCACAATTTAAAGTTAAAAGTTGCTTGTACTGATAATTTAACATTGTAACACATAAAATATTAATGATAAAAATATTAATGATAAAAATTATTTTGAGTAATCCTATTTATTGTTAAATATTAATAAAATTTTAATTAATTTATTAAATTTTCTAACATTTGATATTATTAAATTATACATATTAAATAAAAAATATTAAAATTAAAAAATTTTTTTAAATATCAGTTATAATTAAAAAATTCTTTATATTGAAATGAATGTACGTCACAAAGATGTTGATTAGAAAAGAAAATTATGTTTTCGTGACACGTGAAAATAAAATATCTTTAATTCTATATAATTAAAAATGTAACATAATTTCTTTCTTTAAAAAATTATTTTTTGTTCACATAATGTTTCTTATAAACAAAAATATTCACGTGAATCATTGTACATGGAATAAAATATTGTCGCTTTTGTATTATTTTTTTTTTATAGGCAACATTACATTGGCACAGTGAGACAGATTGACCTTAACAATGTAAGGGATAGTTCCAGTTGATTCGTCCTCCTCGTTGGCAATCCTGCGGAAAATTGGCCGATAGCCAATAAATCGAAATGTAGGCCAACTTTCTCAACTGACTGTTTTTGCCATATTAAAAGTACATGACACTGCCAAGTCTTTGCTAATTGTCAGATTCGTACAAATCGGTACCAGTTGAACTTTTTATCTCGGCAGAGACAAACGAAAAAAAATTTATGCTAATTTAATTATATATATTGAACAATCGACATAGAATATAGTCATGATTTTAAAACTATAAGAATTTTAGAATAATTTAAAATTACAATATAAGAATAACAAGAAATTAAGAAATTTAATTTTACGGAATCAATAAGATTAAAATATATATATATATATATATATATATATATATATATATCTCTCTCCTCTCCTCTCTCTCTTCTCTCTGAAATGATAGCTCACATTACACAATCGAAGAATTTCATAATCTCAGTTTGCATATAATTATATTGAATGATAATAAATTTCATAAATCTGAATTATTAATTTTCACATGATTAATTAACAGCGATAAATATATTTTTTTAAATAAATAATATCAATAATTGCGTTAAAAATATTTATTTTTTATCAGCTATTCTATCAGCCATCTGATACTCCTCTGAATATTATCGCAAATAAAAGGAAGATATTCTGAAACTTTTTTTAAATTTATAATACAGAGAGAAAGATGTATTTGTATTAATCCGTAAGAGTTTCTCTCTCACTATATCTTTGTATAGCGAATCGAAATACGGAAGAGCTGAAGGGATGGATTATTGGAGATATCGGACCCCGATTTCTATTTACGGCTATGAATGCGCGCACGAGTGGATGCAAATATATCCCTCAAACGAGCCGGTATGATCTATACAATCTGATGCAATCTTAACACCCTTTTCAATTTCAAGCTAAAATAACGATGTGCTCGAAATTAACTGCATATGCAGCATTCATCCACGTGCCACTCGTCGTCAGTTTCCACTCTGGATGTGGGAACATTCCAATGACAGATGCTCAAAAGGATATTGAGGCAATCGAAGAAGAGAGATATTCGACAAGCGTAATTAGGACATTCCCAGGATTCCCGTGCGTAATCAGTTCCAGTGAATCTCTAATTGGCTTAGCAAGCTGGCGGATGTAAGCCAAGCGCTAAGGAATAAGAATCGATCGATTCTCCTCGGCACTTTATTTCCCAGGCAACTCTTTCTGACGTCAAAGCGGTGAGGATCGCCGTTTAAGATTCGCCCCGATCGAAACAACGAGAAACGAAACGGGATCAGCACGTTGGCGGATATATAAGGGATTTTGATGTCCAGCGTGGGTTGGTCTGCTATATCAGTCCAGGCGCCGGGATATCTGATCTTTCGATTCCCATTCGGGTCAATCCTTTTACTCCACAATCGTAGCGATGAGGCGCCTGCCGATCGACGCGTGGGTGGCTCGCCGGCACGAGAGCGTAGATGTGCGTGCCGCTACGGCTTGCTCACGATGACAAAACAATGGTGTTGGTAGCAACGCGGGTGTATTGATTTTGTGGTACAATACGGCAACTGCGAGGTGGAGCCGTTGCAGCTCCAGTACGACTGTCACACCGCCATATTTGTTTCTCTCGGCAGACGAGACTGCGGAAAGCGGATTTTCTGCGGTTTATTCCAGATCGGCGAGTCGTCCCACCATTGCGTAAGTACAGATCGAGGATTTGGATCGAGGATTTCGCACGCTCTCGCGCCCGTTTTCCGCCCGTTCTCGTCCGAGTGAGAAACGCGGACTCGGAGCGCGTAGCATCCCCTTCGCGAGCTGGTAGCGAATCCGCGCTCGACGAAACCCGCGTAAACAACGCGTGACAAGTGTTTGACAGGTGGTTGTCTCTCGGCGAAACTATCCCCGTGACTCTCTTCGAGATATATCCGAGTTTTTTCCCGTATCTAACGCGTCCTTTTTGCCGTTCGATCGAGCTCCGCGTGTTGCGTGAATCAACGCTATTGCCGGTTGATCAATGAGGAAAGCGGGAAGATAATAAGCTTTCGCTCATTTTATTTCCTCAACGATGATTCTGGTGATTTGTTGAATTGGTAAAATTATTGTGGAATCGTAGTGATTTCGAACATACAGCACGGGAATTTTCGTGACGTGTATCTTCAGTGGATATGATTCACGTGCTCTATTAAAGAGAAAGCGACGCAATGTGTCGAAAGAAGATAACAAGTTTTCCTATGAATGTCCTTCCAAATTTGTAATTAAAATAGTGCCGATATTAAATAAAAATTGCAATCGCGGAGACTGATCTAGTTAATTACATTTCTATTGTTCCGCTTAATTACATTTCTACTGTAGCAAAGCAACGTTACTGAACTACCCTTATTTCGTTAGTGGAAATTTTCTTTTCTTCTATTACGTTGTAAATTATAAAAGAATGAAATTAGCCGAGTGTAGTCGAGTCAGATGAATAAAAGCCAAAGTATATTGCCAATCATCGTACGATCGATCGTTCATTCTTGGTTACTACACGTGTCAATCACGCGCTCGCTTATTTGATTGAAATCCAGATACGTTTTTTTTCTCGATGTATTTACAATATTTACCGAACACGGCGATTTATTTACAATCCGCGTAAAATTTTTTTGAAAAGAAAAAAAAGACTTCCCTAGCACGTATAGGTGAATTTTTCATATTACTTTTAATATAAAATTTTAGCATAACGTTTCTATATTGCATTAGTCTCACATTACTGTTTTAATTTTATTGCGTCTGATAAAAAAAGAGATAAGTCGTATCTTATGCGGGAGTTGCGGCATTCGCTGGAAGTGTTATAGATAAATGGTATCTATAGTTTTCAGAACTATATGTAAAACATGTTCTGCAACATCGGTATGTGGAATATTATGGAGTGATAAAGGTGACGCCTATGTTGGTCCATCGCTTGAGATTGAGAATACATACGGAAATATGTCCGTGACGCGAAAGGTCTTTGCGCTGAATAATTTAAAACCAGGTGATCGATTCTCAGGTGAGCCGCAGAGACGCGACAAACTCTATTCCAGAGTCGACCTCATTTAAGATTCGATCGAATCGCACAATTATACTGCATAATATGGATGCGCATTTTCATGTTACATATCTATGATTATCTATTTATAAACCTGTGTGCTTCGTTACAAAGTAGATTGCTGACCTGAGAACTTCCATTTTACAAATATTAATCCAATGTTGCTTTACTTGGACGCTCTCTAAAATTATTGACTTTAGTATTTAAAGAATGTTTTTTCTCCATCAAGCTGTACTAGCTAAATATACATATTTCGGTATGCATATTTTATATACATATTTCCGTATGTATTCAATTATGATTATGAATTATTATATAAATTTAATTTTGTTTTACAAAATTCCAAAGATACGTGACTCAATTATCGTAAGAGATCACCCGTGTTTTTTCGCGCCGATCGATACAAAAAAAATTGATGTCGATATAATTCAAGTTGCGTGATTCCGTGCGAATGATAGACAAAAGAACGACGTATGTGTATTATGTACTGGTGGAAAACCGCATAAAACGGAGATGCCACACCGTCTGAACCTGACGCTCGATAAAATTACATTGTGAATACTGTAAGCCTCATGTTTTCACTCTCTCGCTCGCGCGCACTTTGTCAGCACTTCTCTCTTCTTTTATTCTCGCCTGCTCTTTTTCCATTCCGACTAAACTGCAACATGTTGCCAAGGTCGTTAATGTTAACTGTGTCACGGTAGCGTGGCAGATTTATTCTGCGTAACAATGTGACGAAATAAATGATTCTTGGAAAGAGTTTTGTATCACAGAAATATTTTTTGCTATAAACTAGATAAGTTCTTATAAAATCTTTGTAATGTCAACCATATAGAAAATTCATATTATACATTTATACATCTGCGATAGATGAAATATTTTATGCGATTTTTTGGAGAAAACGTATACTTCGGTATTAAAACACATTGCTCATAAAAGTTTACGATTGAGACACCAGTACTAACGTATCTGTTTCAGAATGGTCGCCGGAAACTGCTTTCAGTATTGTCATAATCGTAAAATATTAATATAAATAACGGTCATGTGTAAGTTCTTCTCTTTTTTATTTGGACACTAAAGCCAAAGACGAAGTTACATTGCACCATTGTCGATTATTTTAATGGAGCGCGTGAAACGGATGGTTGTCGACCTAATTTCGTTGTTACACGTAGATCTCTTAGGAACTCTTTGCATAGGCCATCATCCGCGATGCACATGCATATAACTCAACATTCACATCAAGATAATGCAGCTGGGAGTTTTATTTCATGTCGTACATCCATTTTGTGCTTTGCTTTAATCTACTTTATTCTCAACCATTTCATTATGATCCCACCGTACTCTTGCTATTCTTAAAGTTTTTCCAAATAGTGATATTTTTAATAAATTAATTAATATTAATTATCATTAATTCAATCTTTAATTCGGGACGAAAAATTTCCAAAGAATGTAATTAAAGTCATTTCACTGGAATCAAGAATTTTTCAAAAAAGAAAAGTACGGAACGTAAGTTCCATTCGAAAGTTCTCCAATGTTCTCCAACTCGCTTCGTCCGAAGGTTTCGTCAAAAATTTCGAAAGATCGCGACCAGCTGGCTCGGATTGGTCGAAACCCGCCATCTCTGGAGATCATTTTACATCATCCTCCCTCAGACGTCTTCGTGGTACATGACGTCAATTGCGGTAACGCGCACGGTAGCGTTGCAGTCCGGTGACGCGCAGTCGCGCGGCACCGCGATCAATGCGCGTTTCCGCGCGAGGGTTTCGTCGGCGCATATCACACGAGGACCAAGGCAGAACATGCGCGGGGGTGGACTCGTCCTGCGGTAAAAAGGAGAGACTCACGCGTGTGAAAACCTCTGACGTGGAATGCCGATAATGCGAACGCGCGCTCCTCGCACATCTAGAAGAAATTAATGATAATGAAGGGGGAACGCCGATGAATTCGCGATTCCGCGAAGCGTAAGCGACAAGAGCGAAGTAGGAAGCTGGTATCAACGCTGCCTGTCGTGCCTGTGATGTGATACGACGACCGTTGCGACGTTCTATGATTCTCGCGACGCGTTAATAATTTTGCAACATGTAAAACACTGGTGCACACAAGGAATATCAAGGTGATTGGAACGCTTAGTGGTTAAAACGTTGGGAAATTCATTCCGATTGATAGAGAACTGTTTCTCTTAAATTAATTATTTCGTTTTCCACCCGAAAACGAGTGACTCTGCGGAACTTATCGAGCGATAGGAGCGATAAGAGTACACAGTTTCGTCTTACATAACAACTCGAAACAATAATGACACGCAGGATTTGAAAATTTTTATTCGATGTATCTTATCAGGATGTTGGAAGGTTCAAGAGTTATCTTTCGATTTTAGAAATGGTTGGCAAGATTGTTGAGAAGAAATACTAAGAATTCTCGACGACTGATTTACAAAATATAAACAGCTGTAATATCACTCTGTCGTCTACTCCAATCTATTCGAGCGAATATAAACGGAATATTTATCAAGTGGGCACCAGTCACTTCTTTGTCAGCGTAAGATGAACATGAGCACGTAGACAATCGATCGACAATCGAGCGATCAATCCAATCGGAGCAGAATGCCGAAGCCAGTTCCGGTGGAGAATCTGGTGATACCGCCGCAGGATAGCCGGATCTGCGGCACGATATGCATCTGCCAAATGACGATGGTTCTGTCCTCGGTCGCGTTGGTGTACCTGACAGTCGCGATTTATATGCCCAGCGGACGGGCGTTTCAGTCGGGCATCAGCGAGGTGCCCGTGATGTGCACGACGATCCGTGCGGTGAACGCCGACAATTGTGACTGGGGCAGTTGCGGCGAGTGGTGCCTGTCAAAAACCTCCGGACCCTGCGTGCAGATCCACGTAAATCTACGACGCAACGGCTCCACGATTCTACTGGCGAACTGTACGAACACGACGAACAAGACGTGCTACGGCATCGATCAGGAGAACGCGAAGAAGTCGAAGTGCATCGCGGACGAGTGTCGCAATCTGACCGGCACGTTCAACTGCTCCGCGGGCACCTGCATCAACATCACCGACGCCTTCGAGTGCATGTTCCACGACACGGACCCGCCCCTCAAGTGCTCCGGTCGTCGCGGTAAGATCACCTGCATAGACATAGACGGCCTGTTCAACTGTAACCGCGGCACCTGCGAGCGCATCCGCACCCCCTACAATTGCGACCGCAGGTGCGTCGATATCCCGACCAGGAACAAAAACATGATCCTCCTCAGCGGCGACAAGGTGTACCTGAGCCAGTGCGAGCGAGCTATCGACGTGGCGACTAATCGCGAGATCTGGCACGAGGATCGGGGCGATGTCATGATGGCCTCCTGCTATGGGATTTTCAATTCCACGCTGGGCGTGGAGGCGGTGGACTGCATCAACGGTTCCGTGCTAGAGAAAGACCTGCTGTCCGACCTAACAAACTTCACGTATTTGTCCTATCTAAATATATTTGCCACCAAACCGTTGGACGCCGAAAAGCTGGTCGCGCCTCCGGAGCAAAGCTTGATTATCGCCAACGAGAGCCGGCTGTTGATCAATCTCGAGGGGTGTGTGAACACGCTTCGGGACGAGTGCAAGGAGTTCCTTCACGAATACGGGAAGGACGGGTCCGATCACAACGCGCGTGCTAGATTCCCGTGTTACTACGCCGAGGATAACACAAACGTAGTCGTGTCGCGATTCAATCTGCAAACGACTTATAAAGAGTTTTTGATCGCGCTATTGCTGCCGAGCATTCTGTTTATCGTCAGCTGTGTGACTCTGATCTTCTGTCAGAGGACAGTCGTCGTCGGGGACGACGCTAAAATGAGGTTCAAGGGCACGCCCGGCACGCTGGTCTCGATAGAGAGAAGCGCGTCGGGCAACTTAGGGGATGCTGGCGGAGGAGACTCCGTTATGGCGCTCTGAGATCCGTCACGTAAGACATGTTTTCGGCAGAAAATGGTTGCGTTTCTAAAGCATGGTTTTAGTTGTACCGCTGTAATCAGTCCTTTCACGTTACAATGTGTTCAATTTGATTCCACGTTTTGTAATTTATATTATATTATATAATATTAATCTTTTTTATGAATTAATTTTGTGTCTAATGTGTCGTGATTCCCGACTTTACTTAGTAATATAATTATCTACATTTTCTTCTCTCCATCTTTCGCTAATTTAATTTTAACAATTGTTTTGCGATCATTATGGTAGGAATAATTTTTACATTAATTAATGATTTATGTCATTGTACAAAGTTTCTTAGTTTATAAATCTACATCATTTAATCTACATGATTTAATTAGCAAGGCATGATACTGTAATTTTAATAAAATTAAACTTAAAGTAATATATATATATGTGAATTGAGTTATTTTTCCAATGCTGCATTTTATTCTCTAAAATCTTTTTTATCTTTCTATCATGAAGGAATATAACACGAGCTTTGGATATGTGTAGAGTATTTCAAAATGTATCTATTTTCCTAACTGTAATTGTTAAAAAGATTGAAAAGTACTTTTAATTTCAAACGAAGCATTATCGTTAGAATTTAAGATTGTATTCTTATTTCTATAAATAAACTAAACAAAAATAAATCTTTTTTAAAGGAAAAGTATTCGATATTTTGAAAGAAAACATCCGCTTTAATAATATAATAATGCATACATATACGAAATGAAATTTTATTTTAAGAAACAATATCTCATCGAGATGTAATTATCTATTGTAACTTGTTATAATATTTTGTCACTTTGTCATTCTCAATTAACAGATTGCAAATTCGACCAGCGTTATTAACAAAAATCAAATTCAAACAATTATCTTACTTGACGATTTAAAGAAAATATTTAAACAATTTTGTTAAAATCAATACATTATTCAATTAAATATAAATTGTAATAAACGTAAAAAGCTGTGTTATTTATTTTGAGCTACTCTATGGAATCCAGAAGTTGATTAAAGTCAAAAAGAGAAATTGCGAACTAGTCTCATCAATAGACAATTACAGCCACTTTTACCAATGTACACGTTTTAATGTTATGTTAACAGGCATTCCCCTCCTGGAGGAGAGTCCGGCTCGTCAGTCGATATTCTCCCTGCGCGGGCATTACTGAGGTGTGGGGAGGGGGGGAACGCGTGATAAAAAAAATTCTCATCTTGCAATTTAATAAAATAAAAACGCAACATATACACGTTCTTGCAAAAGTATCGAGGAAACGAAGCAAAACAGAGCGGTCGGACAACAAAAGAGAACAAGAAGAATTTATATACTCGCACTGCCTGCACTAAATATTTGGAAGGCCGCACACGCATGCTTACGTGACACGTGCAGGCGTTGTCACGATATCGAACATATTAATTCTGCACTTTCTCTCACGTTCAGAAGGAGAAAACAGCTAAAGAGAGGAGATTTACTCAATTTCGGCGTTTTTCACACGTGACGTTTGTAGCTTTTAAGAAGTTCCCCTTTTCTGATTGATTTGCCGCGACCAATAGCTAAGGGTTTAACAGCCCAAGAGGCGCGCCTTGCTGATGATAGATGATCGACTCGAGACGAGCTCTCGACAGTTTGCTTACCTAACGATTCAACAACTCATGAACACGCTAGAAGTGCGAACTACGACGCGAGCAACCTAGCGATAACGACGAAAGTCGGCCTACTCAAGCTTGAGGACCTTCGTTTCGAGAAACTTCACATTTAAAACTTAGAATCTAATTCTAGAAATTTTAAGAATTCGAGTTTAAGAAATTAATTCCTAATTCTAAACAATTACTTCGCTTCGTCATATCACATTTTTGTCCAATCTTTTCGCAAGTTTTCAGATTAACTCTTAGATAAGTCCAAGTCATTTTTTTTTAAGATCACAGATTGTTTAGTCACGGCTCGTGTTACATGTATACAATATTCTACCCCTCGTTATCAGTCGTGGAAAATTATTTCTGCTTCCGCTGCAGTCATCGGACAAGAATCACGGTATCATAAGTGGGTCACGTCTCTTTGGACGAGCTCCGACCGGCCACGCGAATCGTGGCCGCCTGCATCTTCCGAGAACTTTTAAATAAATCACAAGTGGGGTCCTCGTGACCCACAGAAAGCCGCCATCATTGATTCCGACGAATCGACGGTGATAATGGGCGTCCAGGTGGAGGAGTCAAAAATCGGCGCCGTCATTGAGAAGGCCAAGTTTTACACCTCCCTCTGCCTGGGCACCACAGCGATCCTCGCGGTGTTCGCCTTCCTGTTTCTGATCCCTTTCGTCGTCGAGCCGGCGATAACCACTATTCTGGCAGACTTCTCGCCGCACGCGGTCGCCTGCGTCACGACGGAGCACGTGTACGCGGAGGGGTTGAAGAACTGTTCGTGGGCGAGCTGTAGGGAAGGTAAATAATCGATTCTTTTCTTTCGGCTTTTAACACAATCGGAACGATCGATGACATTGTTTGTGGCTCTCGTCGTAGGCTGTACCAGCGCTGCGCTTCGTTGTCATCAAATCAGGGTCAACTACACTAGACTTCCGTTCGAGGAGTTCATGGCGAAGCCGTTGGGTTCGGTGCCGTGGGACGTCACCGACACCAAATTCTTCGTGAATACAGAAGGATGCGGTTACCCGCCTACGGTTAACTGTTCCGCTTTCGCGAAGAAGTACGCGTATGAAAATATGGGGAAGGTATTTCCCTGTTATTACAGCAGAACGCATCCGGAGACGGTTGTCGCAAGGTACGAACAAGGTCAGGCGACATACGAATTCATTGACAAGAATTAATGTATCTTTCGATACAAAGCATTATGCGCTATATCTTGTTTCTCATTTAAAACGCACGAGTCATCTTTCGTGATCAGATAATATCGACTTGCGCGAACATCAATCTCTATTTAGCAAAAAGGATTTGCCTGCTATCTTATGCCCATAGATATTCGTGGGATCAGAATCTAAGGCATTTGGTGTTGGCCTTGATTGTGCCTATAGTGGTGTTCGCTGCAACACTCGGCGTGCTGTGCTATTGGTATTGTCCGCCGATGAGCAAAGCGTGCGGCGGGTCCAGTCGCAATCTCATGGACAAGTATGCTAGAAAGGAAGAGTAAGTGTATGTATGCAGTGCCCGGTACGGGCTAGCAGAAAGCTGTGTTCTACGGAATTACTTTGAAATTACAACTTCGTTATCCGAAATGACAAAAATCGATCGAACATTGACGCTGAATGTATTATTTTTTGGAATTGCATCACTGTATTTCCTTGTGTTTGGCTCTTAGGCGTTAAATTTCAGTTATCAAAGTAATTCCTCCATTCATTTTGTGTGACTTGTGTATCATCTCCTCCGATTTTCTATCTCTGTAATTTCGTGGCTCCTCTTCCTTCTTGCAGCATCTTGGCAGAGGACGAATTCGAGGAAGACGAAGAGGAGTACTGACTGCTACCAAGGGCTCACCCCCCCGCGCGGGAGTGATGCCAGCGAAATAATCTCCGAATGGCTCCAGCGTACTTTACCTTCTAAATTTAAGCGATCGAGCAATAGCGTTTAGGAACAATTCACGAAGAGCGGAAAAGCAAAGTTCGCTTTTTACGAGTTCACTCGTTAGAGTTACGCTTAACGCTACATCCGACTTTTTTGCCCTTTAAGTCTGCTCTGACTCGTGCTTTCAATAAATGGAACGTACACCTAGGTTTATATGTTATAAACATATTTTCTCTTTTTTTCTATTTCTCTCTTCTTCTCGATATTCCAATTGCACCGAGATTAATTGTATGCACTTACGCGAAAGAGAAGTAACGTCAGGTTTACACGACGGATTAGCAACTATAGGAAAAAAAAAATCGCTTGCGTGAAGAAAATTACCTTAAATTTACGATGTAATGTGAGCGACGAATACGAGAACTCGGACTTTTTAATTCTCTATCAGTATTCCATACGAGTTTCGAGAGGATGTGGCTCGAAAACAGGCGGGAGTACTAGAGAACAGTACCAGAGAATAGTATTATGCATTCATGAAATGTAATACGGTACATTAATAATACAAATCAATTCAGTTCAATGATACATTGAATGTTAATACGAAATATTGATGCTCATTAAATTATTATTCAGTAGCATAGTTGCATATTTTAAAATTTCGTATAATTTAACAAAATTTCAAATGAAGCGATGTTATGAAATGGTGACGATGAACTTCCGCGTGTTTCGAGCTGAATCGTGATAAAAGGCGCGCCTTCCTATTTACGTGATAAAAAATTTAAACAGTATATATAGTTTTTAATCAGCACCGACTAGGTTTTACAGCAGCATCGGATTTAGATTAAGCTACGCAGTCGTAAATTTACGACTCAAGTCACGTAAGCTGCCCTTGTGACGATAAGTCGATCGTGAAGTATCGATAAAAACAACACGAGCTCGTGGCTCGATGCTCGGAGCAATAGCTTCACTCTTCGTCGAGTTGAAGAAACGGACTCCAACGCGGACTTCTGTCGAGTCAATCGCGTTACTCGCTGCACTAAACAATGAATTGTGATTTTTCAAAGTCGCTAATATTTTAATATCTCATTTATATTTCCCATATTGTAATTTAACTTTTTTAAGTTTGTAAATCGATGGCTATTTTTGCAATATTTTTTAATTCTTTGACAAGCAAAGCTGCATAAAAGCTAAAAATATTGTAATTTTATAAAGTTAATATAAAATTTTGATTACGTATAACTAATAAATTTCTATTGGAAGAAAAGCAATTTATAAGTATTATTGCTGAGAAGAGTATTATTAATTGAGAAGAGTACAAACACAGTGTATTAAATGGAAATTATGGAAACGCTCTAGAATAAGAAGTGAAGCAAGTGACGCGGTTTGCTTTCAAAATCCGCTTCCGCACCAAAAAACGTAGGTTAAGATTAGATTGTAAGTAAAGCCTGTGAATATTAATCGTAATTCTATCGAAATCGATATAAGAGTTGTTACGAATTTTGTACGCGGACGCAAGTCATGTCGTGGATTCTATAATTGAAAAGAGGATATATTATATAAATATAACGCGCGTTAATATATATATTAACTTATAAACGCACGTGAACGCTGGTACGCATTGTGCGCATAGCTCATAGATCTAGATGTAATAATATATATTTAAATTGGGATTTTTTGCCGAAACACGCTATATTCCGTAAGCTACGAAACGACATCTTTTATTATTAGATACTTGCTTAATAATAATTTATTTCATGAAACATAATTGATAAATAAATTAATACCAATAATATAATAACTTTGATCAAGAATGCAAAATAAAACAAAAAGGATATAAATTAAATAATTTGGATATGAGCAAAATATAATGATTGAAGAAATTCATTATAATTATCTCAAATAGCGAGATTGCAACATTTCAATTATATTACAGGTATATGCAACTGTATTGCAACACTGTGTTATTTAATTAGTTTCATATTTCATCTCTTATAATTTATCTCTCAATATTGTCTTGTCTCGAATTAAGTTTTGTGTGCATTGTAATTACTTGAAAAATGCCACACTTGAATTTTAATAACGTTTGTTTCGAAGCATATGGAAATTATGTCGTAATTTTACATCATATATATATATATATATATCTAATTATAATTCCTTACTCGGCCTTACTTTAGGTGTCCTGAATGAGAAAATTCCCATGAGATAATAATTTCCTATGGACCCTACGTTTTGGCTTTCCCCATTTAAAGTTTGCTAGTCCAGTTTTTGTTACGGTCGATCGCGTAACTGTCGCAGATGTCCATCGATTTCATCTCGTATTAATCATAAAGTTTCGTCCGATTCTCTCTTGCTGCTACTTTTATTAGGCAAGTTTGATAAATTTTAAATGAGAATGCTGAATGTTAATTATTAATAATATATCGACACAATAATGTAATAATTAAAAATAATCAAAAATCAAAATTAGAGAATTGAATGATTTTAGATAAGCTTTTAATCAGAAACACCATTAGAGCATCGAATTATATAAATCGAAGGACTCCTGCTTCTCTTCTTTTTTGCGAGAACATTTGCTCAAGACGCTCATAATCGATGAAACGACGGCATAAATTAAATTCGCATACGCTTATCGCGTTTTCCAAGCCGCAAAAATTACATCCTAATTCATCGTCAAGTCATCGCAAAATTTTCATCTTCAGTTAGAATTAAAACTCTTATGTGATATTAAAATTCAAGCTGTTGAAGCGAAAGCTTCAACCAAGAAAGCTCTACGCGGACAATTTAGGAGCGGTAACTCGCGTATAGGCACAATTTTCGCATCACGTATCGGTTCTAGTGCCAATTAAATTTATTAGCTCGGCTAGCCCGTCGCAATCGTCGTAGACAGCATTTCAGAGCATCGATCGCGAGAAAAGATATTCATACATTAAGATATTCATAGAAATCAGGGATCTCAAGCGGATGATTTTTTTACTTGAGTTTTAGAAAATTGTATTTAAGTTCTATAAAAAATTTTAAATTACAAAATTTTTACAAATGAATAAATTTTCAATTCAATTTTATTTTAGATAAAAATGATAAAAATTAATTAATAATAATAATGATAATGTTGTAATATGTTGAATGCAATATAGAAGGGAAAATAATGATACAGATGATAATATGCCAAAGAAAGTATTCTGTAAATAATATATTTAATACAGTCTTGGAAAGTTAATTAAGAAGTAGGTTAATTAAGGAAAAATTTTAAATACATATCTGCTTGAGATCCCTCTTTAGATAGGTAAACAAATTCTAATATAAATTTAAATAATTTATATGAGGGTGAGGTAGAGTAAATAATTCCAGCGGTTTTAATTGAGTAATCTAATTGAGCACGACTTGATAATAAATGAGGTATTGCAAATTCTATTTCCACACATACGATCTAACCATCATACTCGATCTGAATATCAGCAGTGCTGTTTGTCTTTGATCGACAAACGAGCGTATTTGATATCTTATCTTATCTTCATATATTGAATGTTGTCTCCTCGCAATGTTATTTGGCTACTATAATAGTAATGGCACTTACTATACTATAGCTGGATACTTATCATACCGACATCATTTCCTTCTCTCGTTTTCTCGTCTCTTTTCTTATATATAAAAAAAAAAATCTATAATATAAATGAGGAAATACTTTCCGAGACGCTTCCTTCCTCTCTACTCGAAAGTTTTCAACTTGTCCACCGCTTCTTATGTACTGAATCATAAATATTGTACATAATATATACATACGGTGTGTGTATATACATATAAATCACATACTCGCTCTGCGATACAAACAGACTATTGTAAATAAGAGATTGTACGAGTTCGTTTAAAATATATAAAAAGAACGTTTTCTGTTAATAATTGATCCATTATTTTTCTTACTTTCATCTCCCTGACACATTTTCCAAAATATATCTTTTAAAACAAGTTCTATCTTTAGCTCTTTAAATTTAAAATAAAAATAAATAAATAATAATAAATAAAAATTAATTCGATTCTATTTAGAATATATAAAAAAATTTCAATAATTCATATGTTATTTTCTTATGACATTTCACATATTACTGTTCGGAATATTAAAATAAGTCTGAACAATCAAAGATTTATGATTTGAAACATTTTTACGTTTGTCGATAAAGTTTTATGATACAATAGTAAAATTTATATGCATCGCACTCCTATCGAGCTTCGACTGGTGATATTACATGAAAAATCTATCTTCACATGTATTATGCGAAGATTACATAGTACTAAACGAAGACATTTGACCTTTTGCTCTGAAGGTCGTAGAAATGTTAATCCAGCGGAACTAACACTCCACCCTACCAGACTGATATCGAGGGGATGAATCTAAATCGATAGGATAGATATCAACTGACTGTGTTTCATGAAACACCCCACTTATATAATAATTCTGATATACAATGAATAGTTTCACATTTCATAATGTAAACTTATTTGCATATTTCATTTGCTGATTCTTTCGCGTGTGCAATTCCGCACGTGCGATAAAACAAACATTATTTTTATCTACGTAAATATTATATTAAATAAATACAAATAGTTAAAATTATATCACGATTACCAACTTATCGTTATTAGAATATATGTAACACATTTCTCCTTGATTTTAATTTTAGAACTTTATACCACAAGTGAAATTAAACTTAGAAATTTATTTCAAACGAAATAAGTGTTCCGCAGAATGTTATCTGTAAATCTGCAATCTGCATCTGTGTAAAAATAAATTAAACTATCTCGTATAAATTATTTTTAGTAATTGCTTTGAATATTTAATACAAAAGTAAAAAGCTTAGATTTAAAAAAGATAATTCTGATGGATTTTTACCTTTAAATAGCCCATAAATTTCCACCCTCGCAACAGCAGAATGAGATAAGTCTATGAACTGTGGGTCGACGTTTTATTCGGACATTCCACCATGGAAGAAAATCCCACCCCCATGAAAAACGCAATATACCACGGCGCAAGCTCCGTGCGAGAGAACTCGCGAGAGCCACGACTGCCAGTGGTAGACTTGTTTTCAAACAGTCGTCGGAGTTAGTTGGTTGCATGGCTACCTCGCGCGTGTTGCATGATCGAGATTCTCTTCCTCGGGAGGGATGAAAAGTTCGCGACGACATGACGACGACGTATTTGCGAGTTACGGACGGAAATGATCGCGAGATCATCGCTCGGTATCGATAATCCAACGAGAGATGCGTATCGATCGCGTGCGAAGTTAATTTTCATGACGTTTGACATGAACTGACATGATTTATTCGTAATCAAGAATCGTTTGTGTGGATAATTGATAACAAAGCGTAAATTTTCAATGAGATATGAAGCGGACATAATAAAGATGGTGAAAGTTATTACATTGTTAATGAATGACGAGAAAGAATGAATGAAGAAGATCCAATCTTTTAAATCATGATCCGAAAAATTTATCGGATTTACGAAGAAATTTGCAAGAATTTGCAAGAAATTTTTTTGCAAAAAAATTTATGAAAAAACCGTCTTGCTATAAAAACGTAAATAGCTGTAGTTAAAGCATATTCATGAAGATTAAATCATTTACAAGATAGGAATCATCGAACTTCTGTGAAGGAAATATTCGTTTTTTAAAGAAAGCATAGTTACTTACATTAGCTGCTTAAAACATGCAGCAAAAAACTTTTCATTTAAAAGCGCACTTGATAGCCATAAAGAATTGAGACACCCAATCAGCTTAAAAGTAAAGCGGCTTTGATTTTATCGGAGATTTGCTTCGAACGAGTAGTGAACACTCGCGTTAGTCAGGCAAGGAACAACGACGATGTGAAAAATAATCCTTGTGTTTTTATTTCTTTCTAAGGATTTAGATCGATGATATATAATCCTGCAACAGTTAAGTCATTTCTCTCGCCATATCAAAGTTTCATTTTCGGTAAAAAATATTTAAACTATAATTTTATAGAAATTTTATAGAAAAGGAAAATTAGATATAACGAAGTTGTGTATAATTTATTGCTTTCAACAATGACTAATAGAATTGTACAGCACATCTATAAAAACAACGTTCTAAGAATGAGAATCCCAAAGGTATTATGAGCAAGATAATCGCTTATTCCAAGGTTATTGGCAAGTGGAACAATCATTAAGGACATCGTCATGGGTATCCCTCAGAGAAACGTCTCTCTAACATCGAGATCGATTTTCCCTCTATAAAAAAATACAAAAGTTTTACTTCCCGTTTCCTGTTTGAATAGTTGACGTTGATATAAACATCCGGAAGAAAATTTTATTTTATACGAAAAAAAAATCAAGAAATTTAAAATGCACCAAAGCGACGTCCTTTTGATCGGCGTTTGACTGTAAATTGTATACCTGAAGAATCTCGACGACGACGCGAGGAACGCGCCAGAAGAAAATTAACAACGTCACTTCCGACGTTAATGGTGGCACAGAAATCCGGATCAATAGCGCATTTTTTTAAACGGTCGTTAAGCACCCACCCGATAGTATCGCGTTAATGGTATTATCGACATCTAATTCCATATTGTCCCGTGTGGAGCATTCGCTCGCAACTACGCGGCTAATGAAGTTAACACGTGGTAATTGCCTTAAGTGCATCCGACGGATCGGACGCGTCTAGCCAAAGAACAACGGGGGAGAGTCGCGCCGCGCAAACACGAGAGGAGGGTTACTTCGCTGTTATACATCACCGTGAGCCATCGACGAATGACCGATCACATCAGCTTGAAACCCGATCAAAAAAATAGGGCAATCCTCGGCGATTTAGCAGAATTGTGAGTCATGTGCGTCTGGTGAATCATTCGCGTGGCAAAATTGGAGCTTACCACGAATCCACGATGCTAAATTGTTAACGCTAATTGGGACTAATTAACTTCCGAGAAGAAGAGAGAAAAAGCTATAAGCTACTCATTGGGTCCAGCCACTCATTCGTGAAGAGTTGATTACTGGGACTGAAGAAAAGTCTTTCCTTTCATCCATTTATTTATATCGCTGAAAGAAGAAATAAGAGACTCAAGGATCATCTCCTTCCTTTTTTTTTTTGTGACGAAATGGCATGACGATCGTGCGTCACGACGCGTGTTCGTGCCCATAAGAGGATGGTAGCTATAGCGAAATCCTATCTAATCGATGGAAGTCGTTACACATACACACGCACTTGTCGACCGACTTCGCAAACTTTTACTTTCCAAACGGAAATAGTATGCCGGCCACGAAGATTCGCAACGAAATGTCTCGCCTGTGCAGACACGTGCGTTCCAGCGGATAACGCGAAAGTGAAAATGGGGCTGTTGCGAGCGATCGATTCTTAGCGCGAAGTTTGCGGTCCATTGATCTCTCAGCTTGTTTTCTTCAACGTGAGACAACGATTAAATTTCTTAAGGTCACTTATACACTACGTAGAGACGCTCGTTCTACGACAGGAATGAAATGTCGACACAAAGTCGCCTGTTTTTTACGTCATGTGCTCCGAAAGAAAGCAAATATAATATACGCGACAGTGTTTGACATGGGAGCGGGATTATCAAACACGAGGAGAATTAATTTTCGACGGATAATGTCGATAAAAGAGAATAAACGTTAAAACTCGAACGAGTGAAACAATTTTTCGACGAGTGCGGGCTGAAATTATTACCGCTGAGGATCGCGCCTGTCCCCTTATGATCGGCGTGGAATTAAAATCCGTGGGATTTAAATTAAAAAAATTCAACAGAAAATTTCGAAAAGAAATCTAGGCATCGCAAAACATTGCAAAACGTCGCGCGATGGGCCGGAAGCAAAAGCGCCGCCTGATACCGGAACAGGATCGTAGAATTTGCGGCAGCATATGCTTCTTTCAGTTCACCTTTGTCATCAGTTGCGTGGCTTTGGTTTATCTCAGCGTCGCGATCTACGCGCCGTCGTACAGGTAAAAAAACGACGAATTATAATTTATAGCGAAGATAGAAATTCATCTCTAGCGTATCCTAATTTCTTTGAGAAATCCTTCGAAAATCTTCGAACACATCCATTATATAATATTACAAGAAGATATTAGAATATATAATTATATATCCCAATATTAACAATTAATTATTATTTATTATTGATATTTATTACAATATTATTATTAATATTAATAATAATTATATATAATTGTATATCCTAATTTCTTCTTTGGGAAACGTTCGATCGGTCAGATCATTAACTTCTCAACTTATCCAATGGGTTTGTTTTTCCTCGAAGTTTTCTCGCAGAAGATAGCGTTGTTCAGCGAGCAGGATTATTAAGGGGAGATTATGCCGGATGTTATTCAAGCCAGAAATTTTATTCAAACAAAGTTGCGGGGAGAGAGAGGGATGTTCACCACTTGTTTCTGTAAGGTAATCTGAGGCGCGTTAACGACGCAACTGGCATAATTTCAGAGCTTTCCACATCGGCATCGAGCCGGAACCGGTGATGTGCCAAACCGTTAACGCCACGATGGTGAATAATTGCGGCTGGGCGAGTTGCGGCGAGTGGTGCTTGACGAAGACGAGCGGCTTTTGTCCGCAGCTCCACGCGACCGTCAGACGTAACGGCACCGACGTAATTTTTGAAAATTGCACTCAGTTCAACACGATTGCGTGCCCTCAGGTGCATAAAGTAACGCTGTAATAAACGCACTTTTGTAGCACTTGTCTCCTGCTTTTATTAAAAATGCAATTTCATTTAAAGTTGAAATATTTTTAAACGTAAATTATTTAGAAAGACCCTGGTGAATTATATTGCACGCGGATATGTAAAAGATATCTATGATAATATGGATAATAAAATGAAATAAATTCTTGAGAATTTGATAGTATAAATGCAAAATAATATCTTGTATTTAAATTGTTTATATTGTATTTGAAACTGAACTGAAGAAGAATGAAGAGACTTATATGTTAGATTTTTTTATTCTTTTTGTAGAGAGAAATAGGAAATAACAAAAAACCATTTTCAATTAAACCTTTTATTCAAATATTAATTTACTTTTGATTAATTTATTAGTGATCTGATTGTTTTAATTGAAAAGATATAAAGTTTTGTTTGAAATTAATAAAGAACTGAGAGAAAATATTTTTAACAAACTTGATACAATCTCGGAAGATTGAGAATATTTACGATGTAAGAACTGACATTAAAATTTTACGATGTTGTTCGACGTTATTTTGTTAGGAATAGTTACAATCTTGGTTAATTACGCAATTAACTTGGAAATCCATAGTAAAGTTTCTTCAGAGAGAAGATAACATAATAAGCTTTGTCCCTTTATACTTCACTAGCTCCACTTGCCATAATCTCCCCAAAAAACTTTTTCCACTTGACATAGTATGAAAGTTTTTTCGGTTGATACGTGGGCGAAGTGGTACGTTTACTTTTTGGATTCCGATCACTTTATTTCACGATACATTCCCGATCAAGTATGATTGTAAGCTCTCACATGAACGGATGCTCCCCTGTGGGCGTAGGCTTCCATCTCGTGGAGATATTACATTTTTATTGAAGCGGCATAAGGTTCCAATTTCTTCACCATACCGCCAAACATCGATGCGGTAAACGTGTTGCGTAAAAAAAATTGCATCCGAATAAAATATAACAATTTATTTGCTATATTATTAAGCATTACTTTCATTATTAATTCCTTCAATTTATAATTTATGCATTCAAAGTTGAAGCAAAGTTTGCTTCACGTTAAAAATTATCTCTTAGAGATCAATTTTTTTTTAATTTTATTCGATAACTCTGATTATAATTTATTATTAAAATATAATGTCATTATACTCTTTGCTTCGGCTAAATTTAAAAAACTGATAATATATTAAGCATATTTACAAAATATTATCTTATTAGTAATATAATTTTATTCATAATTCATATTAAACATTTTTTATTTTTTAGAAATTATGAAAATTGTATTTTGTTTTCACCTTTAACTTGCCCTTCAATTTTCATCTCATCTCATGTTCTCATTTTTCCCGCTATATAACGATCCATCAACCGAGAAGCATCGATTACAGTCAACGGGATGTTTTCTTGTTGAAACGATAAATTTTTGCAATATTCACAGGGAAAAAATGTCATTATGAAATATATTACTTGCGATATGCGTTGTATCATAACGTCAACCATCAGAAAAAAAGGACTCCTTTTGTCTCATTATATTTATGACTCTCATTTGCGAACGATATTAACTTTTTTCTCACTATTACCTGCAATTATTTAATGAACATTATGAAAGTATGATAAATAGGCGCGGCAAAATGCGAAAATGCAAGCAATATGAGCTTTTATTGTCATAATGATTATTCATTGTCGAACAATTTGCAGATTTCAACAACGGATTAAATAAAAATAATAAAAAATTTGTAATGTAATTTTTTTCATTATTTTAATAAAAATATATAAATATTAAGCTTTTAAGTAAATTGTTATAATAATATTTATAGTATTTAATTAATTAGAAAATAAATTTATCAAATTCATTTTTATCTGGAATTCAAAAATGATTAAAATGCATGTTACGGATCTTGATGGGTCGATTTCCAACTCGACGCGATGTATTTATTGGAAAAGGTTGACGTACGCGAATTGGAAGACTTTTAATTATCGTAAAAAGCAGCTAAAAATAGTCATTACACAAGATCCGAATCTAGAGCAAAAACCACAAGGTGGAAGGATACGAGTTACCCCTGAGGGAGCGTCCCATAAATATGAATATTTAGGCACGTGACATCGTATTGTATGCTGACCGCTAATGCTTTGCCAACAGACCCGAAACTTTCTGAAAGTAATGGGATTTAATTAATGACGTTGATGAGAAAAGGCGATATAGCGTGTAACTAAAGCCTGCATGACAGCGCTTTTTGCAGCCGCATTGATGATAATACCGCGCAAACTTTCATAAACCATAAAGTAATTTTCCTAATTACGTAACGTGATATTTTTATATTTCTTGAACATTCTAATTAAATGACTAACTTCACAATAGAATTACAAACTAACAAAAATAAAAATTAATTAACTCTCGCATGATAACAGTTATGCAATAGGAAAATAAAATTATAATTAAATCTCAATATTATAAATAATTAGAACTTTATATGAAATATTTTGAAATGAATTTTATTTTATAAGTAAAATTACTTTTAAACCTAGTTAACGAAACATCAAAGTTCATATATATATAAATGAAAATTGCAACGGATTATTCGAGATTGCAATTTGATTGGCACTGATTTTAGCACATCAATTTGCAGCATGTATTTTATGTTATTGCTGCATGTATTAATAATGAGATTAAATAAACATTTTTAATGGAGAACATTGATAGGTGAACATGGGGAGCATGAAGAGATACAATTGCAACAACGGCAGCGAGTGCAGCATGTTGACCGGGGTGTTCAACTGCAGTCTCGGGCATTGTTCGAACATGAGCGAGCTAATGCTCTGCCATCACAAGGCTGACGGTATCATCATCGACAGCGACAAGGACAATATGAAATTGAACGGCTTTTTCAGCTGTCAGCATTCTAGATGCACAAAAATCAAGAACGCCTTCACTTGCGATCGATACTGCCCGAACATCTCCACCAACAATAGTAACGTGTACCTAATGCAGGGTGATAGTATTATATCAGCCAGATGCTCCCGTGGGATGGCCTTGAACAAAGCAAACGGTAGTCTGCCAGGTATCAGATTAGACGAGCCTATTAAAATCTGGGATGAGCGAAACGGCAGTATCGTCACGAGCTGCTTCGCAGTTACGAAGAACGGCAGCGTCATCAGGTAATGACGAATAATAAGGTAATGCAATGTAGTCTTGTCGCAATAAATCTTATTTTTTTTAAACTTGTCAAAATTTCGTTCTGCATTGAAACATATATCTGTAACACATATATAGAAAAATTGTTGAATGTCTGTTGCCTAATTCGTCGTATCTCATGAATAATTTATAATATAAAAATTTAGTAAATAACGAAAAAAATATGAAATAAGAAATAAATAATATAGATAAAAGTTTAACAAGTTACGTAATTTTTATATGTGCTGACAACATTTTTAAAAAATTAGGTAAAATTAATATTAATTATTCATCTTTTTATATAGTTGATAATAACGTGAAGATAATAATGTAAGATAAATAGAAAAAGATGTGATTTTGTATGAGGAAAATAATTGATATTTTATTTATGTTGCAACAAGTGCAAGTTATTATTGTTAATTTTTTAAGATACTACGTGTTAAATTTTTATGTCAAATTTTAAGAAAGGAAAAAAAAATGCGTTGTCGATACTATATTCTACTGAATTCCTCGACTCTATCGTATCTTTGAGTATTTTAAATTCGCATAAAAATTGAGAAGAGATTCAATAAGACGCAAGGAGCTCGAGAATCAAATTGCCACTGATAGGTAGGCGACATTGGAGCTTCGTTGAATGATTGAATAGAGAAAATATTTTTGTTCCATTTATCGAAAGGCCTCATGACACCCATCATGGGCATTGATCAATAGCTAAATCCCAAACATTAATTTTTCTTGTGTATAAAACGAAGATAAAATTGTTAATATACTTTACCATGTAAAATGTAGATAATATACATTCACATATTCAAATATAATCCCATTTCTCACTGTCAAGTTTCCCTTAAGTTAAAAGGTTGAAATTTTATTGAATTGTCAAGAAGCAAAAAGGATAAGCATGCCAATGACAGAGGAAGGGACCCTAAAATTAGGGTAAATCTGATACACTCGAAAGATCAATGGTTGCTATGGAAATACCCTATATTGCTCAATAAGAGAACTGGTATAGAGAAAAACGAACATGATTTTTGCGATAAAAGTAATTGACTCCAATAAAATTCAGAAGAGGGAAAATATATAAATAAAAAATATATAGCTTTGATTTGTATTCTCATACGATATTAATTGATTAAACATTCAAACGTGTATCCGTTATAAAATTTTTTCACGAAAGAGATGTGTAAAGAAATTACAATGTTGCATAATATGCGTGAGAAAAAAACATTTATCTTTTTAAATTTTATTCATAATCGTATTTCTGTTACCCTAATTTTTTTTTACCTTGATGATAAATCATTGATATGCCTAATATCGTTATCGCCCCTGTTGACATTCGCAGCACGGAGGATTGCGTGAATGGCACGTTATTAAGCAGGATCCCGGTTCCCGTACCGTCCATTAACTTCACGAGCTTCCTGAAAATCTATGAGAAGAGCCTACAATATCCAGCGGATCCCACAAACGCCTATGTCCCGGCGCAGCAATCTTTGACAATTTACAATAGCTCGCGATTGTATATCAATCTCGAGCGTTGTGTAAACACTTTAAGGGGCGAGTGCAGACAATTCCTGCTCACCCATGGTCAAGATGGTGACAATCAAACCGCGCAGAGCAGATACCCCTGCTATTACAACAAGGTAAGGCATTTTCTGTCGAAAGATTTGACGAATGCATAACTCATCTCAAAATTTCCTTTCCCGTTAAATGGTAATTATGATATTTAAATAGAAAAATATATAAGTATATTTTTTGTAGAAAATTAAAGCGACTCTTTCTTAAAAAAAAAAAAAAATATCCCGGCATCTTAATAATTTTTAAATAATTATTTATTTTATTATTATAATTATTATAATTACTATTTATATAAAACTTGTACTAAATGTGCAATTAAACTGCTGGAGAAAAAAAATCATTGTAATTTTCTACGGAAAATAGTTGTAACTACCATCGATTATCAGCTTTGATATAATTATAAAATATTATAAGCGTTTATGCGTAATTCTTATTTATGCGAATGCGTGTTGTGCAGAACGACTCGTTGTTCGTGGTTGCACGTTTCGACCTGAAGAAGACACAAATGGAGCTGTTGATCGCCGTCATCGTGCCGGCTGGGCTCTTCATCATCAGCGTGATCACCCTGATTATCATTTCGCGGTCCGTGCAAGTGGGAGATGACGCGAAGATGCGATGCAGATATTGCGCTGACAAGCAGGAAATTGAGGGCGAGGACGAAGGACTCGTGGAGGCAACGTCCTCCGCGACGCAAAGTCAGGGCAATGAGAACGAGATCAGAAGTATGACTCTTTAGCAGTACAAGCCGCTTGGCATGGGCACTGTGCTGGGTTACGAAAGGCTGCCACTGATCGACATGGACGACGCTGAGGATTCCTTTTAAAAAAAAAACGCTCTGTCCGATTTTTGAAAAACCATGTCACGTCGAGTTGGTGCTCCAAATAAGAAGAATATTGAAAAAAATGGACTCTTCAAAAATTCAAACAAACGACGTATGAGCGAAGTTGGATTCTCGGATGGACATTAACGTCGTCTTCCGGAATAAAGTGTAATTTTTCTACAGTTACTACAATTATTGTAACGCGCAGGGATATGGACGTTACATTATGTGACTGATTACTGTGCTTGAGGTGGCGTTAGGTTCAATTATCTGCCATAATGAAACTCGTCGAAAGTAACCCACTTGGGGTCCAAGTTATTGACTACTTAATTATATATCGATCTGATATATTTATATGTTCACTGTTGCCTTCGATGTACCGCTATCACTTTGTTTGCTCTCAAGACAAATGCGGATTAACATTGGTATCACAATCGTCGATACGTTAGTTTTAAGATTTCGCCTCCAAATATATTTAAGTAACCTTCATTAGAATATATATGTAACGGAATATGTAGAATATGATTGTTTAATGACTGAATATTTTAATGAAGGATATTTACATACAGCAGTGGCGTTAAATCGTCTCCGTGCAATGTATCCGATTAAAGTGCAACGTGAACACTTGATTGAATCAATGAAGACAAAATGGAGTAAGTGATGGAACGTGATGAATAAATGCCGAGATATTCACTATGATACCTTATAAAATGACATCGATTTTTTTTTTATGTGAAAGGGGCAAGCTTGTTTCGATGTACAAAATAAATCTAGAATTACACGACGATCTAGCGCTCGTTTAATATTCGGTTATCAACGAACATGCATTTATATTTTTTCTACATTCACTTATTGTGCTACTCCGTAGTTGACTCCGTACGTGATTAGATATATCTAACACCATTGAAAACACTTGATGTGATTCCCTATTTTTCTGATACGCGAGCCCGAATAACTAAATACTACGACTGCCTATACGTAAATTATATTGTATACTACAATACATACTTGCGATGCATAAATATCACCTAATATCCTGCGATGTAAATATATAAATATATGCTTTATATATTCGTGGTAATCGACATTGCCACAATTTTCGTGCCAGTTTCAGTCAGCGTGTGTTTCAAGTCAATCAAAAACATGATCCGTCATATGATAAATATTCGAAATACTTTATAAAATTAACAAATATGTGTATTAATTAGAAATATGAATTTTTATGATAAGACGTCCAAGAAATGCAATGCCAAATTATTTTTCATTTTGAAGTATTAGATTCATTTCACATGTTTACTTTAAATAAAAATATGTTCTCTATTATTTATCAAAGTAATCCGTTTAATATAAATAATTAAATCAGAAAGCCATAATTCTATCGGATTCTATGTATTCTAATCCTTCTAAAAATAATTTCTAAAAACTTCATTAATCGTTTACTTTATTTCTTTAAAGAAAGAAAGTATATTTTCTAGCTTTTATCCGACAATTTTTATCTATCTTATAAAAAAAATTGATGCGTAGAAATTCACTCGCATATTCAGCAATGTAAGATATTTACAGGCTTTAAATATGTAATAAGTAAATATAATCTCACGCAAGCAAACACACACACACGCATACACTTGAAGAGTAGCTATTAATAATCGGGAAACAAGAAACAAGGACTTTTCTGATGTCACTATACTCTATGTGCCTTCTTCCGCTTTCGATGGAGCCAATAAAGTATACCTATTAATACTTATGAGTGCTAACCAGAGACACACAGACTCG